AGATATATATATATATTGAGAGCCTAGGGTTGAAGTGAGCGCCGATTACTGGGGAGCTGATATTCGGTATGCAAAAGTGCTTTACACAGTCTCCAGAGATAGGCTTTAAATTATTTTTTTCTTTTAATGCTGCCTAACAGTGTTGAGGTTATGGGTACCAGAAATCCACATTCCTACTTCCCAGAGTACTACTTCCCTAAGTTAAAAGTCCACTCAACCTAAAATTAGTAACTCATGAGTGGACACTGGTCTGCGGAATCAACCAGTGGAATTTGATATTTTAGGGCACTCCAGATGAGAACTGTTCCTGCTGAAATCGTATACCCTTTCCTCTCTTGGATTCAATCCAAAAAATGCTTAAAGTAAGCCTATAAAATTATTGAGCATAGCACACTGACTTTATCATTAAATGCATAAGAAAACTGCCAACTGCATATGAAAAAAGATCCAGAGATGTAGGCAGCTGAATTACCTGCAAATCTTTTCTTTTCCTGTCAGAGTCATTAGGCCCCGTTTTTTCTGTATCTTATAGGCCTCTATATGGGAGAATGAGGCTGTCCATTACATTCGAGGACTATTAGGAATACTTGGAAGGCAGGAAGGGCAGGGTCAAACTTGAATTAAGCTGAAACAGTCCAGATTTGTACATAACTTTACCTGCCTTTATTTCTGTGCTATTTTGACATGCAGTCTTCACTGAAGGTAAGCTCTGATTATCTATTTTTGCATCATGTTCTGGCTCTATAATCCATCGTTTTTGACAGGTTTACTTAGAAAATAAAGGAAAATCCAGCAGAGAGGGTGGCATAATGCAATTGTCACTATAAGTTGGATGATCTGAGAATTCAGATACAGGATCTTGCCACAGGATCTTGTCCCAAAAAGCTAAAAAGAGCCAATGGATAACTGAATACACGGGCATGTATCCATAGCTGAATAGCATTTTGATGGCTGCTTTAATGTCCTGCCCAAAGTGATTTTTTTTTTATAGCTAAACCATATAGCAAAACTACCTTCACAATGATAGAAACAAGTAATATAATGAAATCCTTTATACCCTCCACAGTGACCTGGAAAATCTATCCACCATCAATTCTGTATTTATGAAATATGCAGTTTTTCTGTAACTGTATTAATTAATACATAATAACAATACAAATGATATTTAAATAAATATGATTAAATATAATTTAAAAGCAATAATTGCTACAGTAAATTATTTCAAGCTACACAACAAACTCATCTGTAACAAGTTTGAGAGCTTTGTAATTCTGAATAGTTCATATATTGTTTCAGTCATCCTTTTTTAAATAAAAGTAGACATCAAATAACATACAGAACTGGTACTACCTGTAATGCATACAATGTTGCAAGCAGTCTTATGAGGAGACACACTAGGTTATGATAGGGTGCATTGGTGTATTCTATCTTTATCAAACACATTTCACAAAGTAGGTGGTCCTAACAGACTGCTAATTTATTAAATACTAGTATACAGCATTTCATTGCCAGCATCCCACCAGCTGCAGCCAGTGGGACTCTCTGTACAAAAAGATTGGTGCCAAGGGCAGCTTAGCTGTCATGTAGATCTTAGAAAACATGGCTACCTACAATTGTCACTTTTTAATATTGATATTCACAAAACAGAATCTTCTGACTCTTGACACCACTATAAGTCTTAAGGTATTCTGAGGTTTTTGGCTCCACAGGGCTACCTTGGAAAACAATTAGCTGAGTGGGTTATATTTAACGGACAGTTAAATATAACAGTGTTCTGTCAAAAACTAATTGTTAGTGCATTGATTACATTTTTTAAAAGATGGACTATGCCTTTCAAATGAGAGAGCGTGTTTCTTTTCAGTTGCTTTAGAATGATTGTTGCCTTTTATCCTGGTAGTTGTGTTATTTGTATGGTTCTACATTGAGGGACAGTTGTCTGCATGGACAACATAGGCTCTGTCCTAGGGCTGCCAAGGATGACACACAGTCACCAACTCATCATTGCTGTCACTCTGGGTTCATAGGGATTCAACCAAATTGCTTGCAGATTAGGACAACCATTTGGCCCATTCTTTTAGTCAAGGGTTCTATGTCTATTGGTACAGAGTGATGACAGGAAAGATGGCTGATGTTGGTAGTGTGAAGTTAAGCTTAGCTACAGTAATTTAAAAGAAGTGGCACAACAGAATTGGTCTAGGGGGCAAGAAGAATAAAGCTGTGTCCATGAGATGAGGTCCACTCTGTGAGACATGAATGCTCTTCAACTCTATTTACCACCTGATCATGAAAAGCAGAACCTTGTAAAGCATCTAGTTCCATTTATGCATTAATTTTTTTCAGTTATCAAATAACAAATCAAATAATCTTGCTTTTGAGTAGTAACATTTCCCTGTCACATCTGATATTTGGATGCCAGATTTACAAAATATTTTATATGATAATGTTTACAAGGCTTGTGAAGTACCTTGGTGTAGTAGATTGGTGCAGTAAGCAAAGGTGTGCTGCAAACGGCATTAACCTTAGAAAACTACATTGTTTAATCCAGCCTTGGCTAGTGACATGCTTTGGTTTGTATGAATGCAGCTTACATCTTGACTTATTGCCATAAACTTAAATAAGACCCATATGTTACTGAAGTTGCTTTGTGAGCTGCTTGTACTGTTACAACGTTGTGTAATTGTTCTTCATGCTAAATGGACTCATTAAAGTAGGATCAATGGTCATTAGACAATCAGGGATTCATAGAATGGGCACCATGTGTTTGAGGCCATAGTAATTGACCTATAAATCAAGGCCATCTATTAAGATAATCCATAAGAAGTAATACACCAAATTGTTGCCATACATTTCTGGTTTATGGCAATTAAGTAAATGATCATTCTAATTTTTGTTTTCATTCATTACAACAAAGCTATAAAAACAATATTAGCACCTATTTTGTAGAATTCAGTGTATCCAGTAAGGTCAGGTCTGCCTTTTACCATTATAACAATATTGCACAAGTAGCATAGCAACACATACATAAAATGTAACCCTTATATGTAAATAAGAAGTGTAAAGCCTGTGTAGAAGCTCTCTGTTATGATTCACTGAACCAGGATGCTCATTTAACTAGTAAATGATGTGCTGAGTGCTGACCATTAAGCAACGAACATCCTAATTACCATGGTAACCAAATCTCCAACACATTTAACAAACCTTTGTTGGAAAAAGCTTATATGTATGACCTAGATGCAATCTCCAGTACTCTGTATGCCATTTAATGTGTCAGGATGAGTGAATATAAGGCCATGAAATAAAACCTTTGATAATACGTTACATAGCTTTATTAGGCTATACTTTAATACAAAAATATCTTCAGTATAAATCTGTATAGCAGATATAAAGCTCTTTATAAAAGCTGTTAATACAAACATACACAGTTAATAAAAGCATTCACTTTCCTTGAGAATGCTGCAATTAATGACATAAGTCAAAATGTCAAAGTGCTATCTTTTACATTGTGGATTCAATGCCATAACTTTTAAGCACATGCTTAAAATGTATATAGTACACGTTATAGAATTATAATGTGTGTAGCTTGGTGGCTAAATGCTGCAAAACACAATGGCCAATGTCAATATGATCTACAATTAATAATTATCAACACTATTTGTTAAGTGCCAGCATTACATAACATATCTCCCATGTTAAATGTTACTCAGTTCTATATAGCTTATACTGTAGTTCTATGGTCCACTTTGGTCAGTTGCTCTAACCCATGAGACAATGCCTATATTCCTTTCCTCAACTAGAAAGCTTAAAATACAAGTTTCTTTAAAGTAAACTTGTCCGAAGAGAAACAGGGAGGCCACCATGGTCTCTGCCTCTGAAAATCATAGTTGCTTGTCTACTATGCAGATCTTTTGACTTCACTACTTTGAGTCACTGCCCTGGAACAAGTATGCAGCTAAAGATGACTGACCTGATCTGCAAACTTGTTTAATGGCATTGACTCAGAAAGCATTAGAGAGCATTAAAGCCAATAGGCCTAAACAGTAGTCTGGCAGCTAGCATTTTCAGAATAGAGATAAGCAATGGCTAACCCCCATTTCTTTAATTAAAAAATTACTTTAAAACAGAAGGGCTGGTAATAACAAACACAAACATATATGTAAAGGTCCCTATGTCCGTAATTAAATTCTATGGTATATACTAAATGAGGTTTATCAGTGGCATTTAACAGTATTCAATATAACACTGCTAGACAGTAAGGCTGTTGCATGTGAGAAAATACTCCCCTACAGCGCCATCTTTATATTAACTATCTAAGGTCCTATCTAAAGACACTTTTATGCCTATTTTCGAATATAGCATTTTAGGATCACTGTTCTTTTATCTGAACATGCTTACCGACAGTCCTGATTTTGCAGGACTTTTCCTGTTAGTGAACCCCAAGGGTGCAGCATATACCGGCAATAGTTATGTTTTAGGGGTTAATTAGCTTTAGGTGGATCAGGGGTGCGGAGCTGACACAGCAGGGGTCTTCTCAGATAGGTTTATTGCATTTTCTCTTCAGTATGGCTTAAGGTCTGCTTACTACACTTTAAATCTCATTGCAGTTTGACGTATCAGGGCCTTAAACACTTTTTTGGACCCATTTTGAATAGTTATTATATTGCTTCATCTACCTGGCTGGTAGTTGAAACTGTAACTAGCTGTGCCCATTACAAATTATATGCTGATATGCGACCCCAATGTGCATAAATGCATTTCAGCTTAATGTAAAATACCCAGTAATTATCAATACAATGCTTAGAATGGTCTAGGTATTAATACAAAGCACTATTGTAGATTTTACAGTGAGAACGATCTTATGTTTCTCTATAAAACACTTTTTCATTTCAAAGGCAGCAAGTAAGTGCTGCATCAAATTTACACTTAATATTTTTTTTATTTCTATAAAAATAATGTTTTTAGTCAAAGGCTGTTTGATAGTGCATAAAGAGATCCTCGATCAGATGTGATTAAATCATATGCATTACCGAGATGTCAATATACTCATACAAATATATTAGACACATTGACCCAACATAAAGCTCCATCCATTACAATGTCATATTATTTAACCCCCCAACTTCAATTTTTGGAAAATAACATTCTGTAGCAGTACTTAGTTAAACTGTCCATAAACAAATACATATATTTACATATTTTATGAGGAATTAATGTACAGTTAAATTACATATACCTTACAAAATGGCCAAGCGAATAAATTACAGAAGACAGACAACATGGCTGGCGATACTTAGTGCTCTAAAAAAGTGTGGCTTGGGTCCGATTTTAGCAGGTGACGTTGAGGGTTTTAATGTCTGGCATATACGTTTTCTGTAAGCGAAAACAACTGAGTAAATATTTAAATAAAAAACATTTGGATTGTTTTACATTTTGCAGTTGGAACACTCACCTCTGTGATATTCTGGATTCACATTCTCATATATTGGGAATAAAGGGTTGTCCTGTTCATTGCGCAACTTCCGAGCTCTCAACACATCTCGCATACACTGATGTAGATACAAATACTGACACTGGGAAGAAAAGAATATAAATAAAATTACTTTCTGGATATAATGACATCAAATAATAAAACATCAAATTGTATTTATATTAATAGCTTTCATGGTCCCAAAGTATAACTGATAGATTAATAATCAAACAACATACACAATGCTTACTATGAGTGTTAAAGTTACACTAAACTCATGAGATAAATCTTAAAAATGCATTCAGGTACCTTAACTATTAACAAAAATGTAACTTATTTGTGTATTACTTGGCTGTAGATCCTCAAATCATCTCTGAATTGGTGCTGACATTGTCCTTACTTCTGGAGGGTGGCTACTTTTGTTCCCCATGGTCCCTGTGTGTGTTGTAAAATAGCCACCGCTCCAAGCTCACTCATTTCATGGACTACAATATCATGTTCAGTTCAATAATTTGTATTGAGTTTGTAGTACATCATAGGAGTGAACTTGGAGCGGTGGCTACTTTACAACTCACACAGGGACAATGGGGAAAAAATCCAGAAGGAAGGACAGTGTCAGCACCAATTCAGAGATGATTTGAGGATCTACAGCCAAGTGATACACAAATAAGATACAATTTTGTTATTAGTTATTGTACTCAAATACATTTTCAAAGTTTAACTCCTGAGTTTAGTGTCACTTTATAGAAAATCTAGCATAAGAGAAAACTGTATGCTAGCATTGCTAACCTTTTCTTGAAAATGTTTGTATTTAACTGTTATGATCACCACATGCTTTAAATTACTTTTTAATAATTACCTGTTTTATCACCTCCAGTTACAAGTTTTATTTTCTTCATGTACAACAAGGTACGTAGAGTTTGAAGAAAGATTTTAAAATACAGAATATCACCTGATATTCAGCAGAAAAAAATCATAAAAAGTATCAACTTAGCGGTTGACATAAGCTTTGGAAACCACAGCATTAAATAGCAGGGCATAATGGAGCATAACTGCCAGCATAGAAGTTTAGTTAAATGTTGTATGGCCACCTACCCTCCTCCAGAAAGGAAAAGTATAAAAGGTGAAATAAGAGTTATTTGATAAAGGGTGCACCCTTTCTTACATAAGACCAGGTTTAGCAATATAAACTTTCAATTGAAATTATCATATTTTAATGAGTACGGCAAGCTCATGACGTTTTCAAATGGGCACAGACTTAGATTAGCAAATACTAAATTTGCTGTTTCTCTTTCTTACATTTCTTTATTTGTTATTCTGTATAGACTACAAGCTTTGCCATGTTCCCTTTCTGAAGGCTGATAAATATCCCTTCACATTAGGCATAGGAACAAATAGATTGAAGCAGTGTTTAGATTGCAGCCAGACTGGTGATATTCTTCCTGGTACCTAAGAATGGATAGCATCTCTCACCTGGTACCAACTCATGTCAGCCATTGACTGCTAGCATTTGTAACCTTGTGCAGAATAATTACTTGGAAATGAAGAGTTGTGTTAGGAAAGTTGTACTGTGCAACCCAGGTAGAAAAAGAAAAAGAGAAAACATTGAAAATGACAAAAGATACATGTTTGTTTCTGATTGTTGAAAACCTATAGCGATTTTTCTCTTCCCTTGATTTATTACCCTTTAACCAGTCCCATCAGTTCTGGTCTAGATTATATGTCATAAACTGAACACTGTATCTTGTAGGTATCAGTTACCTGCAGAGGGAACATGTATTGTTATTGTAAAGAATGGACCTACTATCACAATTGGAAAACCACATCTCTAATAAATCTCTTGATTCAGATAGAAAAACCTTATAATTTATTCCCTGAAATCAATCTTATACTCAGATTTCCTTAGTTTATTTTAAAAAAATGTAAACTTTTTTTAAAAGGTTGGTTCACTAGAGTTACATTTTAGTTTTCAGTGAAACCAGATGGGCTAAAATAATTTATGGCTTTTTTTATAGGTCTTAGATTATTCATAATAACCAATTTTCTTATGGCGTTTTTCATAATTTAAAACAAATAAAAACCATTCAGGGAATGAGTTAACCCCTCCAAATGGTCACAGTAGCTGTGCAGACCTGAGAACTCATAGAAAGCATAGAAATCTCACCAATAGAATCCCTAAGAGAAATAAGATAAAGATGACTTTTAAACTGATCATTTAAAAGTGCACTTAAGCAAAAAGGCAAATACTTTGCTATGTAATACTGTATATGCAAGAAACATGGTCCATTTGCCCATGCCTTTTGTATAGTAGGCTGTGTAAAATGTTCTGGTCACTGGAGACTTGGAGGTGTGTGTATAAAACGTTCGAAGAGCAGACAGCTCTGAGAAGGTTCTAAGTTTTAGATTCAAAGAGCATAATGGCAAGTTAATGGAGCAGAGGAGCATAGGAATTTCTTATGCTCCTCAGCTCCATCTAGGTTCTATAATGCACTGCAAATCTAGAACTCAGACAACAGCCCCTGGTCCCTTTAGAACACCTACACACACATGTCACAGCCCCAGAATAAATTACAAGGGGCAGCTGTCCTATCCAGAGGCATGGTAATCATCTGTAAAACTCAGATTAAGGTCATCTGAGTGGACATTTTGAGTTGTAATATATCCCTGAGTGATTTTACTTGTTGTTTGGAGCTAATACAAGTCGTCCATTTACCTCCTAGTACTTAGTAAAACAGCCCTGGCCTTTATAAACCTCAAAGGAGTATAAAAAACATGAAAAAAGAAAAGTTCTAGAAAGGTTTAGAAATGCGCTACTGCTTAGCAAAAGGTTAAAACATTACTTTTATTATTTTCTAAACCTTCGTAAAGTTTTTCTTTTTTCAATATACATTACCAGAGGAGAATGCTACAGCATCTTTATACATTGATAAATAATACTGGGTTTTGGTTCCTATGTGGAATAAATATTCCTGATAGAAGTATAAAACACACAAAGAAAAAAGAATACATACTGCCGCAGGTACCAGCCTTTCTTTGTTTATATTTCTGCAAAATATGGAAGCTACTATTGTCCCAAATTGGATAAATCCCTTAGGAATAGACACAGCTGTGTCCCAACTTTCCTCCTGCTAAAATATACCGTGACACCTAGGACTTCTCTAAAGAAAAGCTGATGCCCATTCCTGTATTTTCTGTGGAGCCTATCCAATGTTTTATCTGCCAAAACACATTGTGATTACAATATAAAATGATCCAAATGTGACATGCATTAAAATCACATTCATCTAACAGTTAAAATTGTAGTGGCAATGCTTGATTTGCATAGATACCATTACAATGCATGTAAAGTGAATAGCTCCATGATGCAATGATACTGAATCCTATTGATAATGTGAAAAACATTCTCTAAAACTGGGTTATTATACCATTATAACACACAAAATAGAATTTCATTCTAGACTTAAATGTGAAGAGTGTATAATTCTCAGGAACTAATGTTATTGTGGTGGTTCAGGTAAGACATGTATTATTATAGAGAAGTGCACTGTGACCGTGAATACTGAATGGCACACTATTATAGATAGCTTTTTGTGTGCTAAAGATGAATGTTTATGTAGAGTGAAAGAAAACGAATTAAGAGTCTAATACAAAGTGTTGATAGGGAAGATATTTGAATGATAAATCTGGGAAAATGGTTCATTAATCAGTTATGTAACAATAAGAGATAGAGTGTATAGTGATGCTAGATGTAACCTTATTTATGACATTGATAGAACAGCCTAACATTCTGGAAGTGTTGGCAGAAGAAGAAAATTATCACTGGCATTCAATGTTTGTGGACAACATCACTGAAAACCGGTACTTTAAATACCCATGACATTGTTATTTTTGTCTGCATAGAAAATATAATAGTATTTATTCAAAACTTGTATTATTTTATAATAGCATTCCCAAATTAAAGCTCAACACCAGATAAAACTTTTTTTCTAATGATGTGGACAGTGTGGAGAAGGGTTAGAAGTTAACCCCTATCAGGTTTTAACTGATCAAAAGTTGTGTATGTAAGGTGTTAGATCTTTCACTATCAAGTTCTATGTTGTCAGCATCAAATCTGACTGGTGGAGCTCACTGTCCCTGGTTAGGTTGCTCCCATCAGCCAGGGCACCACAGAACGGGCACCCTGGATAAAGTAAAGACTATAATAAGGGATGCCACACCAATGATCATCAACCCAAATGTTTCAGTGGCTCTGGTAGTTCATCAGGACCTTTAAAATCTGTATAAAATTGGTTGGAATGCAGTTCATCAATAGGCCTTTATTGATGTCAGCTACCCCATTGGCAATATTTTTCCTTACTTCTTTTGAGGTTACCTGGATAATAAACCAGGAGAAAATCTCCATTAGGTACATGGACATCACTTACGTAAAGCTAAATTCCAGTTGGCCTTTAAACATATATTTTTGGGTGTTCCCCCCCCCCCCCAGGATAATAAGAGCCTATTGCTCATTTATTTTGGGGTGTGTAAAACCGAGTAATACCATTTTACTCCTCACTTCTGTAGGCTTCCGCCCTGCTGGTTCCAAAATGATGGAGGACCAGTTCTCTTTACAAGTAATACAGCTAATCCCCTGCCAATGCCATGACATACTATTCAGGCACAGTGGTCCTGCGTTTTACATGGGATATCTAGGGCCCAACTACATACTGGGGCTGGAGCAGATTGATCTGCTGTCAGGGGAGTGAGGAATAAGGAGTATTCCACTACTTTACAGACCCTCAGACTAAACAAGCTTTTAACCCTTACTATCCTGATGGTGGTAGGGTGCACACAGAAAGAATCTCACAGACCTTATCTTTAAGTGGCATGAGGAAGGGTTAGAAACTCGGTCAGGTAGTCTGGGATTGTTGTAGCATTTCAAGTTACTAGCTATGTAAATGCTATAGAATTGCTCAAAACACTGTAGACTGGATTCAAACCTCCGTACTGTACTATTATAGTCTTTCACTTTTTTCTTTCAACCAATTTGGACTTATTCATGGATACTCCATGATGTATACCTTGAATACAAATGCTGTGTTTTGCCAGGCTTACCTCAGTCTGGACCATGTGAACGCGGTGAAGCCGGAGATCATACACTGCCGCATAAATGTCCACTGAATCTTTTGTATCCACTTGCTGAAGAATCCTGTCTAAAGCAATGAAGGTCCCTGTTCTGCCAACACCAGCACTGCAAACAGATCAATAAATATAAGATCTTAAATTCAGTTATCAGGATATAATATAATCATGGATTCTATGATATTTGGGCGTGATCAGTATCTTTACTACTTCTAAGAATTCTAAGAACTCCTGTGTTCCTCAATGGACAATAAAGAAAAAAAACTTTACAAGTAACAGAAAATATAAATGATCAAGTTATACAAGTCAAGTTATATTCAAATATTTGGAAAAAATAAGCCAGAAAACATACAAGTTTTTCTTTAATAGCTCACTAGTTTGAGCGCTAATTATATTTGTTGTTTCTAGTAATTTCTCCCTGACTGCAGCATTTAAGTGATCGTTATCAAGTTTTATTTCTAATTAGCATAAACAGAAGTTCTGAAATTTCAACAAGCCTGAGAAAGCGTCTTTATTTTTTTTAAAGCCTTATTGTCAGCTCTGTTAGTCCTTGTACAATTCATTTATATGTCAGTGCCTAACTGTAATGGCAGATGTCAGTGATGATATATATTGTCCAGGACACACTGTTCAGACACAGATAAACTTATATGGCTCTGTGACACCTCCAGTAATTGACAGAAAGTTTTAACTTTTTCTTTGCAGAGGAAGAAATCACATACAAATATGTTTAACTATATACAGTACATGGTGATTTTAGGATAAGAAGGAAAGTACAAGGGGGAGTAGGGCCAAATGGCAATGAGCTCTTTCTGTTGATTGTGACAAGCCCCAGACTGGAAGTAAAAACCAGTCCTGGTATTGGAAATTCATCATTACAAGGTTTTTGACCTTGTGTCCCTCAAGCCTGGTGGAACAATAATGTTTATATAATGGTAGTGGTTAATCAAGTATTTATGTGGATCCCAAGTACAGATGTACTTAAATTAGATTTGTTCTCCTTAGAGAAGAGATGCTTAAGAGGTGACATTTACAAACTCCTCAACGGGTACACCAATATAGGTCATACACTTCTTGAACCAAAAAACTTGTAGGAAGATACTGTATAAGGGTACAGCAAGAAATTGGAAGGGATCATATTAAACTGTATTGTAAAGCGCTGTGCAAACATTTGGCGCTATATAAATCCTGTATAATAATAATAATAACTGCGCATGTTTTTTTTTTTTATTGTAAGAGCAGAGAAATGCGGAATTCACTAAACGCCGATAGATGTATTGGCAGGAAACACTGACAGCTTCAAAAAACTCTTGTATGAGATCCTCAGTTCACAGAATATACAGGGTTATATATACACACACACACTCACACATGCTACATAGGTTGAATCTGAGGGACCTGTGTCTTTTTTCAAACTCACCTACTATGTAACTATGTACTGTAAGATGTGTTTGGTAAAATTATTAAAAACTATTTCCTTGACATTCGTTTCCCAATAATACAACAAAAAGGATTTGGATGTTCAATTCAGGGAGAGCAAGTAAAAAAGCCTTACTCAAGGAAAAGTTCTAAATCCTAAAGTGTATGTAAAGATAAACTTTTTTTTTAAACTTTTGGTGGGGAAGAATTAGAACCTAAAAGTTTTTACTGCTGTCTGTCATGACTTTTAGTGATCATCTAAAGACCTAATTCTCTATCTAGACCTAGAAATCTCTTTTTGATGGTTTGCTTTGCATTCCTATGGTACAAGGGCTAGAGATGACAGAGTTTTAGCCATACCTGCAATGTACCACAGTAGGACCAGTTCCTGGAGTTCTATTTATATAATCTCTGACTGTTCTCACAAACTGAATCAAGGACTGAGTGGTTTCGGGGACTCCATGATCAGGCCACACAGTGTAATGGAAATGCCGAACCAGTCTAGCTGCATCCAGTTGATCTTCCTGTTAAAACAGCAAAAAAATTGTATCCTTTCAAAGAATGAGCTCTGCAGGAAAAGGTTTTCAGTATACACCTCTATAGGCTAGCCTTCAACTGCTCATTGACATTAACATTTCAAATATTGAAGAGCAATGCAGTGTCAATATGCTGTTCTTCTCTACAACTATACACAGTTTATTGAACACAGAAAGAACTTTGATGATTTAAAAAAAAAAAAACATCGAGTCAAGGTAATTCTAAAAGGTTCTGATCCTCGATGAATGATTACAAAGGATCACATTCTTACAGAGGTTTGTACAGTCAGGTTGCATTAATGACGAGTAATGATTGTGTTTATTAATAACATTTCTTTCATTTAGAAACTAGGAAACATGGGGTCTACATGTATTAAGAACTGTATGCATGTGCTTGGTTGTTATTTGTAAACACTGGAAGGAAAAATTAAAAAAAAAAAAATCATATATAGCAAATAATGTACACGTGGAAGGTGACTGGCAGGTGATGGACACCTAGACACCTTGATTTAAAGATTTATGTTGAGAGGAATGGAAGCTTTTGTGCAGCCCTAGTTTTATTAACTCTGGGTGTTCTTGAAAATTTCACAAACTAACTAAATACAAAATGCATTGTCCCAATACATGATGTATTGGTCTGCATAAAAATTTGCATACATGTATATTGTTTGTCTACATTCTTGAGATGCATTTTATTTGTGTCTGCATAATAATACAATTCTCTGTAAAAAGCAATAGAAATTGTATCCTATGGAAAGGTTCCAGTACTGTGACATACATATTTGTGATTACTGCAATGTAGAATTCTTCATAGCAGCGGCTTGTTTGTCAGCTATAACTTTCCTTTAGGCACAGTCATGCTGTCATAGCTAAATGCCACACTGCAAACATAGCCACCGCCCCATCAATCACTCTTTTTATCAAGTCCTGGAGTGGATTCCACATTTCAGAAAATTAGCAGCCTGACCTATTGCTAAATATTAGGTCCAGCCTTGTTTCCAATTACACGAAAGTTTTGCAAAATAAGAAATACTTATTGTGTATTCAGGCATCAATTTTAAGTGTCTGATAAATGAGACTGAGCAGCAGTGGAAACTTTCACAGTGTTTAATTTCAATATGAGGGAAAACATCTTACACTGCAGATTTTGAATTCTCTTATTGTCCACTCGGGTAGTACAGACTCCGACAGCATTTGAACTATGAGGTCTCCGTAATACAAGGAATCTTGATCAAAAGGCCAATAATGATCACATTTTACCTAAAAAGAGGAAAGAATCATTTAGCTGATCACATCTGTTTTATATAATAATGGCATCGTTCAACAACAGTGTCAATGTAAAACAAAGAATGTCATAGCCAGCAGTGCCAAAGTCATGAAATCCTAAGCTTATCTCTTCTCTCTATGTTAAATAGATACTCATACTGTCCATCCATTTATGTAAGTGTATTCTGTATATCTTCTCTTATTTGCTCCATGTTGGTCTGTTAAATACGACATGTTAAGTATTTTGTTATATCTGTTTGATAAATACAGAAACCTGACCATGTTAAAAATTCAGAGCTGTCGTTTGTCTTGTTCACGCGTTCCATGTTATCTCAGTGTAATCAGCTCCCCCAGGTTTTTCACATGAGCTATGGAGATGAGGAGAGGGGAGGTGTTCTGCTCAGGAAAAGACAGGGTACACCCATGACACTGGTATCACAGAGCTTTATGGGGTTTTTAAAGAGAGCGCAGGAGCTGTTTGCTTTTAGATTGTGTCTCTCTAACTCTAACTAGAACAGGCGGGGGGAGGGGGGTTAATGGTTAATGAATCACTAATTCTTCATGACTCTCTTTTGTGTGTGCAAATTTCAGCTTAAAATACTTAGCTCGGTAAACAATATGCTTTTTCAGCAAACCATTTCAGAATAAATTGGTAAACAAGTGAAAAAAGCCAAGTGCTAAACCTGCTCTGAATGCTAAAATGTATTTAAATGATTTTTGCAGTGAACATAACAATTTGATAAAAAATATATGTACAAAATTACTGAGCCCAGTTTTCTATAGATTACATTTAGTCATCTAAACAGAGCCACCATTAAAGCTACATAGTAAGTCAGGCTGAAAAAGGACTCATGTCTATTGAGTTCACCTGATTGAAAAATAAAAAATAATAAACTGAAAAACTCCACCCATGGAACCCTAAACCCTTATAAAGCATGGTTCAATTTGCCCCAACAGGGAGAAAAATCCTTTTTGATCCCCCTAAGGTAATTGGATACTCCCTGTATTAACAATCTACAGTGTTATTGCTTGTAAATATTAATAACCAGTTCTATTCTGTGCCCCTAGAAACACATCTAGGTTTATTTAAAACAATTTACTGAGTTAGCTAGAACTAGCTCCTGTAGAAATCTATTCCACATTTTCACAGCTCTTACTGTAAAGAAGCCATTCTACATGAATAGGTTAAACTTTTTTTCCTCCAGACACAAAGAGAGCCCCGTTTTCATTTTAGATGTCCTCAAAGTGAACAACCTTGCATCAAGTTTACTGTATGGACCAATTAGGTATTATCATGCCACCTCAAACACATTTTCTCAAGGGAGAACTAATTCCGTTTAGTTAATCTTTCCTCAAAGGTATAAAAAAAGTTTGCAACTTTAATCTTTATATCTTAGATTCTGACAGCTGTATACATTTATCTTTGAAAGTTATCAAATTCTTTAAGCATTTTGTTTTTGTGAACTGTAAGGAATACTGCAGTCATTTTATATATTGGTTGTTTACTGGTGATAGAAGGTCCATAGCAAATATGGTCAAAGAACAAATAATATATTACCGTAATTGAAATGCAATGTACAGTATAACACAATAAAGAAGCATGCCAATATTATCAAGATACTGCAATGCTGTTTTACTTCCCTCTGTCTCTGCCTTTTTCTCTTTATAACCTCTAGAATGCTCATCTCTCTGACAAACTGAACAGGAAAACTTGCAGTATTACAAAATGTACTTCTACGGTTTCAAGACTCTGAGCGAGCTATTTATGTAAGCTGTGTATTTAATTGCTTTTCTCTCCATTGACAGGTCTTCTGCAAACTGAACCAGCAAAGATGCCAACTCATATAAAATCTCAAAAACATTTTTTTTAGTAAAGATTAAAAAAGGTAACGATGATGTGAACAGTTTGGTGAACTGTAGCAACCAGTCAGAAGACCAAGACAGTAAGTTTGATGGGTTCCTATGGATCAATGTTATGATTGATTTTGGCACTGGCTGCAGGTTAGAACTAATGTTTGACCAAAAGCCCAGAAATTATAAGTAAGCGTGCTGCTTGGATATAAGATGCTGCTGGAGTCTGTATGCCAGTGTATGGTTTTGAATAGAATGGAAAAGGTTTAGAACTCACCCTACTAACCTTCCCCTACTCTAGTAAAGAAAATCAATTTTATTTCTGGTATGTTGCTGTTGGAGAGTTTCCCTGACTTCCTGTCTGGTAAAAGAGCTGGACAGAAAGTGAAGGGAAAACTTCAATGGAGACCCAGATAGCAGTAAAAACCTGACTTAGGTTCTGTTCCTTCAAACACCATCTGAAACTAGAAAAAAAAACTTTGGTATTGGGAATGACTGGCTGAACCTCAGCCCCTAAAAGTGTAAAGAATTGCAGAAAGTTCTTGGAATCACCTGAAATGGTCATTATGGCATTAAAATATTAAAATATTGTTTAACTTATTATAATCCCAAGTCACATGTGTTATCACATTCTGCACGCTGGTCTTAAGCCCGGGTAAATGGGAAGGGTTGAGGAAAGACCTGGTAACCTACCTCATAAAAAAATCACCATGAAAATCAAAGAAACTCACTGGAGAAGGTAATTATGCTCAGAGTAGTTAGTGCCAAAAAGAAGCCAGGCCTTCAAAGAACACAATGGATAGACACAATAAAAGCCAACACTGGCCAAAACATGAAACAACTCAAAGAAGCAGTACAAGATCTGAAAATATCTATAGAGCTGGTTCAAAGAATCACTGAGAGTCAAAAACGACTAATAACAAACACAAAATAATTCTACAATTGTAATGTCCGCTTTGACCCTTCTTGTTTATTAAATAAAGATTATATTTTAAAATATCATCCCACAAGTGATAGCTGATTGATTCCTTTTCCACTGGCAATAGAAAACAAAAGCTGTAGAGGCACCGTATTCATACTTTATTCTTTGAAATAGTTCCCAGTGGTGTGTGATTAATTTAAGGATGAGGCGGTTTCTTGGCCTCTGTCAATCTTAAGCAGACATCTGCCCGTCTATGACCATGCCACAAAAGATATATGATAAAGTTACTATAGCACCTGTAATGAGATTGTTGGGCACTTGTGTGCCACCATTTTGCATATGACTTTATGGAAAACATGTAAGACTGTGTATATTTGTTGTGACACCATAAACGCCTAATTGACATATTAGTATAAAATGGTTTATTCATTAGCATTCAAAGTACAGGACCATTAACGCAAACATTGACTGCTTGTAATAATGATTTCAGTTAGATGAGTTAGATGACTGCTGCTAATTATTCATAAGAAAACCAAGAGAAGCAAACAAATGTGAACAGTTACAGTATTTAAAGTTGAAGGTACTCCTCTCTGCCTGCTTGCATAATATGGCAGAAACAATTCTTTAAAGGTTAACATGACCTTTAAAATATTCTTTTTTTTAAATCTTTCCTTTGCACTTGCCAGCTAAAAATACATGATAAAGTATGTTGGACTGAAACATATTTTTACTGTTAAAAGTAGGCTTATTTTTATGATTCCTGTGAACGCTGTGTTTCATCTTGTGGATTTATCTCTCATTCAAATCCAAATGATATGCCACCGAACTTCTGCTACTGAGACAATGTGGATCAGCAAAGGAATCGCCAATCTCAAAGGACTATTTTCTTTTTTATTATTTTAATGAAAGCATCTTGTTTATCCATGTTGAATTGCTCTGACATCTACTAAGTGGAAATGCTTTCCCTTGCTGGAGTTTATTTATTATTTTTACTTCTTATGTTTATCATACTGACAGCACTAATATTTATGCTTGCAATTCTTTTCTTTCACTTATCTGTAGAGTCTTTGTTTTTTTCCCTTGGCTCTTTGATGAACCTTCCCCAGCCTCTTGACCCTGGTGGTGCATTATAGCACCCTAGTTCTGTATTATGAATACAATAAATCAGCCTCTATTTTAGCGGCAGATCATGTGGTCATTTTCTTTTCTGGATTTCCAAGCAAACTGCCCAGTGTTGCTCACAGGAAAACAACAAGTGTACAATACAATGCTTTATCACAACATATCCTTGGCCAGACAACCTGCTGGAAAAACTATATTCATGAGAATGCATAATTAAAGAGAGTGTTTGTTTTCCCTGGAAAATAATTCACATTAGCAGTGATTCAACAATGCCTTGACTATTTCTTTATTGTTCTACCTGTTACATAATGTGGTACAAAGTGCAAATTTTTAGTATGAACATTTGTAATAGTCATCTAAATGACTGTTACAGCTCACTAATGCTATTACATTTGTACGTTTGGATGCCATGTCTGTGTCATAATAGAAACTGCGTTTTCACACCCTTGCTTATTACTGTCTAAAAAGTTGTGTTCTATACTGGTTTTCTTGGAAATCAGTGTGATAAAATGCAGCATAGACAATAGAGAACAATAGACTGCATCCTTGATGAAATAAAAAAAACTACTAATAAACAACAGTAAAAGAAGCTTTATGTTGCTCATTCTACTCTTGAACGATGATGATGATGATGAGGATGATGATGATTATTATTAATATTATTATAAAAAAGGGTTCATCCTTGCCCTGCATCTTCAAAAAACATATTTTTGGGCTTGTGCTTGGATAATTAAAAGCTCTTAAACCCTGAGACTGCCGAACCAAGTCCCGAGTTTAAAGGAGAACTATGGGGTTAGGGCTTTTTCCCATAGTTCTACTTAGGGTAACGGGGGGACGCTAGTTTGTGTCCCCCCCTCCCCCATCCATTCCCCCAGTCTCCCCCATCCGCCCCCTCCCCCATCCGTTCCGCCAGTCAGTGCTGGAGGATCGGATGGGAAAATCCAGTCCCTCCCCTGTCACGGCTCTCTGCCGTGCCAGGATCGAGAAGTGAGCAAACGACGGTATGTGTTCGCTCACTTCCCGATCTACTGAGCCGACCTGTGACAGTTTCATTGTCGCAGGTCGGCTAGAACTATAAGGATGAGTGAAAAGCACCCACCTCATAGTTCTCCTTTAAGTAAGGAACATGCCTTTTGTGTGCAGTGGCTAAGTTCTACCGTACTCAGTGATAGTACAGTGTACATAGCAAACATCAGCTAATCCCACTACCTCTTAAGGGCTTGTGTCAAGGGGCAAATGCAGTTTGCTTTCAGGTTTGAGAGGCTTCTAAGTTCATTCAGAGTTCACTGACAGGTGCAATTGTTTATAGTCAAATACAAGAGAGTATCAAAACCACATATTAACAGTTCCCAATCAGGGCCGGATTTCCCACAAGGCCAACCAAGGCCTGCCCTCGGGGCATCAGGGAGTAGAGGGGCAGCAGAGGTGTGGAATTCCTATTTTCCAACGCCTGGGGCTTGCAGTTCCGGGCGTCTTATTGTTTTCTACATTTAGCCCTGCTGGGTAGGGGGGTGCATTGAGGAACCTGGCCTTGGGGCAGCAGAGAGAGTAAATCCGGCCCTGTTCACAATAGTATATGATTCCACAATTATCAGAAAGATGACAAGAGATATCAAATGTGTTTTGGGGGCTCAACAATTCCTCAGGGCTTAAAGGCTAAGCTTACCTTTCTGACCATGTTTCATGTTATACCTACTGTATATTTAGGGTGTAACATGAAACATGGTCAGGTCACAGCCCCAATTATACATCTAGAAGAAATCACTAAGCTTAGTGGAGAGAAAGTAGGAACAGTGAACGTTAATACAACTTTGAAATCCAGACATTATTTGACCAAATAATTATACTGTCTTATTAGGATTAGAAATACATCTTTGGGCTCATAAAAGATTTTGCCTTATTTTGTGTGTGTAGAATCTTAAACATCCGTGTATGTGCAGCACGTGTTGTGAATTCAGTAGCCAGTTGAAATTGTTCATTCTTAAATGCAGTAACCCATAGTAGTAACCAATCTGAATCCGTCATATACTGTACTTGTGTGACTTCAGATTAGTAAGTTGCCCTTAAGAATGAACACTTTTTGTTGAACAAGTCAAACCTAAACTTTCAAGTAGTTTATTTGTGTGTCTTCCTGTCCTAGTGACACCCACTCTCCTCATTTACAGACATGACAGGGCTAGGAAGTGAGAGAAAATCTCCCTACAGGCCCAGTCACACCACTGCTCTGCAGTAACACCCGTTTCCCAGCACCTTTACAATGTATCTGCATTAACGCACTACTAGGCAGCACAAAATGCAGCAGGTCACATTTTTGGTCCATTGTGGTGCACTTAGCAATTCATTTAAATAGGCTGCCTTAATGCAATGCATGCTAAATACTCCGAAACACACTGCTCTGGTGTGAATGGCCATATATGTTCACAGACAGAAATAAAAACCAGACAGAAATTTTAACTCTTTCCCACTCCATAAAAAAAAGCATTAACTTACAAGGTCGTTGCTTTAAATCTAGATAAAAATGTATCCTCTCACTCACCCGTCCTTTTTCAACACACTGGGTCACCATCACAACGTTATGAACGTTTTGTTCCCAAACCATTTTCCAGAAATCATCTTTGGTACCAGGAAGAGGCCCCTGCGTAGCAATATACTCTCTGCGAAAGTTATTACCCTACAAAGAATGAATTAAATTTTTCTATTATAAGAAACATGACATATAAGACATTATAAGTCTATTTTATGTGCAGTCTTTTTGAAGTAAGTTTTGTGCAGATCATTTATAGTGAATGGTATTTAATATATACATATATGTATTGTAATCAATATAATATAAATGATCCTGCTCTCTAACATATTGCAGCAGCCTTGAATCATCATACAGTAAACTGCACTCTTTATAAGCATGTGGAACCATAGTAAATGTGTCTGCAGAGACAGTGAAGGCAATATAGTATTTCCACAAATCTTGTTACTTTTGGAGCACCGTGAGAAAAATTGGTGAGGGTTGGCTGATTGGACTGCCTTCAATGCATTGAGTCTCCTCCCCAGAATGAATATGCAGACAAGGAAAGTGGAAAAAAAAGTCAGTACTTATTAATATATTTCTTCCAGATCATTAACTCAAAAAACCTAATATACTAAATGAGTAGGCAATGTTCACTTTAGAAAGTGGAAGCTAACTTACACACCTTCCAACATGACACACTTTGATACACTCTGCTCCTGATCATCTTCCTGTATTTTGATGACACTCACCTGACACATGAGCAACCCCTTATCTGAGGTTAGTGTGAGCAGAAAGCGATAGAGAAGATCAGGAGCAGAGTGTTGTGTACCTTCTGGAATGGGCCATGTTGGAGGGTCAGCACTAAAAGTTAAAGAAGAACTCCAGGCAAAAAACTGAATTAACCTTTGCAGTGGGGCTACCCCATGCACTGCAGGGGTTAAGTGCCTGTTTTTGTCTAGGTGCTAAAGTAACAAAGTTATACTCACTTGAAACTCGGAGCCAGATGGCTATCACAGTGCTCCCCTGGCCTATCTCCTCCTGCAGTGATGGTATGTGACTTGGCGTCCTCATGCCCAATGCACAGTGTATAGAACTTCAAGACTCAGGGACCTTGGACCACTGGAGTGGAAGAGGAGCAAGGCTGGAAGGACTGGTCTAAGGCCCCATTCAAACCAGGGCTGTTGCGGATTCTGCACGGATTTTAGAAGGGCAGCTTTGGGTGTTTTTAATTGCATTTATGCGCTTATCAGAGCGGCAAAAAAGGGTCAGGGAGCAATTCGTGCGGGAGGCAGTTCGGATCGCAGTCGCATGAACAGTCCCCTTAGCAATGTATAGGATCATTCATGTCGGTGGATCCGCGTTGTCCAATCCACACGGCCGAACCACCCAGGTGTGAACGTCGACATTGTGCATTGGGTGAGTATAACTTTTTTTATTTCAGCACCTAGTCGAAAACGAGCAGTTAACCATTACAGTGCGGGGGTTAACAATGGTTTTGCCTGGAGTTCTTCTCTAAGTTCATTTGAATACCAAATGTAAATACCTCATGTGCAAAGGAAATTAAAAATAGATGGTTTGATGATTAAAGTGAATGAAGCATCACCTTCTTCACTAAGCTAAATGAACATTCACTTTAGCACCAACAGTTTTTCTGCAGAGAAAAATTAACCATTTACTAGATTCACTACTACAATCACAGTGCGTGCACACAACAGAAACAGTTATGAGTGGAAGCTAATCAGCTTTAGAATTGTGGGAGGACACTGGAGCACCAGAAAAAAAATATCCAAGCAGGAAAATATATAAACTCCATTCTAGTATTGTCATTTTTTTTAAACCTTTTTTGCTGACAAACCAATGTATAAATCACTTTCTGTTAATGTTAAAATGGTGTTGTATTCTTATCCTTGACATATTTGTTTTTAATTGTATTTATATTTATATCATTTGTAAATAAATAAACAAAATAGAATAGAAAGAATCCAAAATTATTAGGAGCCTGCTCATATCTGTCTGTATTCCCACAGTAAAAACCATCAGGAGTTTAAACTGTAATCTGCCTTATTTATCCAGTGGTTAATCTCTGAAGCACAGAGCAAAAAAACACAGGGCTAGACCCGCCTGACCCATGACACTTATCACCAACCTTTCATATAAAAACAAGGGCTGCACAGTTAGATCAAGTGATCAGGGATGCTATTCACATGGTGAACATGATAATGCTATATGAGATAAAGAACCAGAGAGGGAGAGAGAGAAAGCCCCGTATAATAAACATCAAGAGCCAACAAATCCTTCCCATCTGAATCTGAGCATATAAACTGAACAGTGAACAATTCATAAAACATGAAGTATAGTTAGAGCAGCAAAGCCAAAGCTTTTATGGAAAGCAAATACAAATTCAAACATACCAAGGAATTAAAAAAAGAGAAACATAAAATATGTTCATAAATGCAGCATTTAATGTAATGTTTATACTCAGTAAGGGAAAAGACACCCTAACACTATTGTGAGTTAAGTGAAAAGTAGTTGAACTAGTAATAGCAATAACAACCTAAAAAAATGTCTGTGGACTATTGCCTTCATCCAGGTAATGGTATAGCTAATAGTAGTCAGTCACATTTAACTGGACTTATTCTTCTAATTTTGAGGATTTTTCGTAGCTTATCCAACCCACTTCTTCAGTTCACACTGATGATGAGAAACTTACTCCAACATTAATCTCTACACAGGTACATATGAGTGTAATTGCTGTGCCTAGAGAATGGGCCTAGGTATTTACAAAGGCATTCTTCAGGCTGATTAAATAATGAGATTTGATTTGGGTAAAGCTGAACAGAGAGACAGCATGAGTCTTGTTAGAAATGTTTACATATTTTGACCAAGAGTTTGTGGACACCTGACCATCACACCTATATGAACTTCTTGGTTCATCCCATTCCAAAGCCTAAATGTAAATCCCCCTTTGCAGGTATAACAATCTCAGCTTTTCTTGGAAGGCTTTCCAGAAGATTTTGAAGTCTGTAGGAATTGTTTGCAAATTCAGCCATAAGTGCATTTTGGGGGTCAGCTACTGATGTTGGACAAGAAGACCTGGCTTGCAATCAGTGTTCCTATTCATCCCAAAGATGTTTAATAGAGTTAAGGTCAGGGCTCTGAGCAGGCCACTTGAATCCTCCACCAAGGTGCACAGTCATGTTGAAAAAAAAACTTTACCAAACTGTGGTTACAGGGTTTAAAGTGCACAATGGTCTAAAATTTAATCATATGCTGTAGCATTAACAGTAACCATCAGTGGAAACTCAACTCAATACTTTGGAGGAATGTCCACATACTTTTGACCAATTGTCAAACAAAGGCAATATCAGTGGAGGAAAGTCAGTATTCTGAAGAATTACACTGCTACTTACTGGAGTATAACTGGCATTAATGTAGTCTGAGCATGGGTCATCATCAACATTGGAAAGTTTCACTCTTGTAAAATCATCTAGAAATAAAAAGTAGATTGTTGTTTATGACTGGTTACGGACACATGTTTCAAATTTATCAAGATTTGTGATGGTTTTGTTTAATATATAAGGGTAAGATATAAATGATAATGGAAACACCTTTATTTAAGTGGCAGGGTATGAACAGTTGATTGGCAGGGTGTGACTCCTGCTGGTATGTAAAACATGAATATACAGTGCAAACTAACAAACAGTTAAACACAGTCACAGTCTTTGATATAAAATAATTTATCAATATTATGTATGGCATCTGTTATGGCAACAGAGTGTCATAACATTAGCTATAATAATAAATGATGCATTTAACACCCTGAAATCAGTAATAATAATAACAGCAAAATATATTGGCTCAATAATTTTGTTTAAAATGAAATCAACATGAGAAACAGCAGAACCAAATGTATATGCATTTGTGTGTGTCTATGCCTACACACGTTTATGTATGTCTTTCCAAATGTGGTAGAGTTGAGTAGAGTGGCGTTACAGGTCACCCGAAATACTCACAAGGCAGTATATTGTTGTATCGATTTTTTCCTCTGTTCTCTGGTAAAAGTGCTATGTCAAAAGATTGGTTTCGACCAACATCTTTCAGGTCCTGAATAGACAAAAGCAATGAAACACATTTAGCATCTAATTGATTTGTTGCTGCATCGTGTTGTACTGATAACTTAGGGTGCTATTTTAAAAAGGAAAAAAAAACAATCACTAGTTGGTAAAACTGTAATTTATTTATCCAATATATCTGAGCTTTGAAGCAGAGAGCAATGGAAAGAATTTTGTGAACAGTATATGATTTCCTCCTGCTTGTCCATGTTGCACTATGCTGATGCTGTGTTGCTGGCTACAAGTCACACTAAAGAAACAGAATACCGGGCATAGCTAAACCTGTCACAGATTCTGCCTCAACCATTACAACTGCCACCACCCTTGCTTCACACAATGATGTACAATGTCTTGTCCATCAAAATACAAGACATTATTGGAACTGTAAACAATACACATTATGCGGCAATGAACCTCTGTTGTTAACCATTTTCACTGTTCTAGACATCTGAATAACCTGCACTTCAGAAAGCCAGTTGTTCAAAATGTATATTTATGTATTTTTACTTATGTATATTTCAGATAATTGTGATGTACACAGTGATATCAAATGACAGTCTTAGTGTGTCTTTCCTGAGGACGTACCTCATATTCCTGGGACAGCAAATAATTGGAGTCTGCTTGAAGCTTGCTGAAATGGGCTTCAAACTGGTTTGTTTTGATTGGGCTAAAATGTAAGTCAAAAAGTAACGTAAGATATAAAATAATGGATCTATAAACAAGTTTAAATAAATAAATATATATAGTATAGTATAAATTAGTTTTCTGCACATAACATTGAGCTCATACCTTGAATTTCGCTTGTTCCTACAAAAAAAACAAAATAAAACAGGTGAATGTTGTTAGCAACAGTATGATGACCTGCACAGAACATTCTAACCGCTGCTAAGCAAACAATGGCAATAATGAGGAAATATCTACGTATTTCTTTAGAAACAGGTACAGATTGGATGGATTGGTGTTCAACTAAAAACTGACCAGGATCTTTCACATCCAAATTTTCTCCAGGCTTTCTCATCCTGTTTGTCCCTCTGCATCCAATCTTTAAATCTGATGTACTATCCAAACATAACCCTTCTATCTGCCTTGTTCCGCAGGGGCATATTTATAAAACTGCAGGAAAATGGGCATGCAGGCTGGTATCAGTATGGCAGTTGGCTGCACACTCATTGCCCTCTACCATGAGAATACTGGTCTGCATGCCGGGTGGGTGGAGGTGTTGAAGTTGAAGTGGTGGTTAGGAGATACAACACAGATTCAGTATTGTTAACAGCAGGACGGTAGGAAATCATTGCATTTTCAATGTATCTGGATTACAATTGTATCAGATGCTGCATGTGCAAAATTAATATATCTGGTAAATATGCATTCATTTATAAATAGGGGGATTGAAATAGTAAACACATTTTCCCTTTGAAGAAAAGATGTTACTCAATATTATCTGACCTGTCAAATGTATTCCTAAATGCACCTTATGTCTTTATAATGACACATTTTTCAATAAACTTGAGTAATCCATGCCTTAATAAGCTTTCCCTACCTGCCTCTTTAGATGCCCTTCTTTGTATCAAGTAGTGGGCGCAACATTAGCCATAGCTCCATTAGGAGGGTGAGATTAGGAAAACTAAATTGAGGTTTCCATTATAGAAGGGCTGCATTAAGACCTCAGGATGGTCTGGTCACAAACCCCCCTCTATACAGTAAGAAGCATCTGCTTATCTATCTTAGCAGTGTAGATTTATTGCCCTCTAATCTTCTACTAGGGACTGACATTAACCCTTTATTTCTAATGCCATCATGAATCCTAAAGTTTCACTTCTGTTAAAACCTTAGGAGGGCCGAGGTTTGTGGTTCTACAAAAAAAGTTTACTGAAGTTCGAGTTTAAAAACCTTTGTGGTTGCGAATCGACAACTTCTCCCCCAGTGTACGAATTGTGATAACTCACATTCTTTTGGCGGCTCGTCTCTTAATTACTAGAAACTGGAAAAGTCCAGACCCTCCCACTATTACACAACTCACTTAGTTCAATTACACCACAATTTTGAGAGAATATTGGCCATTCATTGCGATAAACTCAATAACTTTGATGCCCTTTGGCACTCTTGGACCACATGGTTTAACACATTTTCAGACTCCACAATTCACCCTCCCTTTTCAAACCCATGAATGTGAATGCAACTGTATCGGTATAGTACACTATACCAATTATTTCATCTTGTTATACGAGTATTGTAACCATAGCGGTGTAGAATTCAACTTAGAAGTATCTATGTGGTCTTACTTAAGCTCGCTTGATCTCAAACTCCTAAGTTGTTTTCCTATGCTGACTGTTTGTGGTCATCTTTGTTTTATTCCCTTATTCATTACTTGAATGTCTTGTTATATTGCTGTAATAAATCAATTAAAACGTATTTGATTTAAAAACATTTGTGGTTAGGGTTGACAAGTAAGTGTTGGGAAGAGCATTATTAATTTTTTCATAATATAAAATATCATTATGGTTATTATTATTAGCACTACTATAACTTCTACCCCCAGCACTGCTCCCTAGTAGTGTACCGACTATGCTGACAGCTCTTCTGCTGCCTGTCCTTGAAACATACTACATGTTAAGATCAATGACATGTATTGTCAGCTGCTACAGAGAGATTTAGTCAGGGGGCCACAAAGTTTTCCCATGGGGCCAAATGATTTGTAGTTATGCCTAATACTATGTCATTTTATCTTCATATTTAGCTTATTGCCCTTTCAGTCACATCGCTTTTATTGAATTATGTTATGTTACTACTGAGTACCACTCTGTTTAGAAACAGCTATTTTTGCTTTGTGAAAAGCCAATAAATCTCTCTTGAATCTAAAAATAACATCATGGAAAGGCAAAGGTAAGCAAAGCCCATCTTACCCTTTATGTCCTACATTTAGATGTACAGATGATGTTCTTTCTCTCCGTACGTTCAGGTGGGCATGCATTTGATCCTGATCATAGCTAGAATCAAGGAAATAAATGATGTATGTTATATGCTTATGACACAAAAGGAATCACTGTATGCAGTGCACTTATGACATTTCTATAACATGTGGGTGACCAGTTGAATAGAAAACCTCTTCACATCCAGATCCTGCAAATTATCTTTCATGTCTTACAATTCACGGTGCTTTTTTTTCAAACCCCTTAGGGTGTGTTTGAAAGCTGCCTGCTCCCTTTGTGAACATTAGTTTTATTGTTCATAGAAAAAAAATGTGATACAGATACTGGCTTCTATTATACTGTTAAAGTGAAACAAAGATAAAAGGGCAGAGACACATAAGTGTACTCCGCAAGTAAAAGGGGAAACACGTTGGATACACAGCATGTATTCCTACCTATATTAAACTATATTCATAGCCATCAAATGTATATATTATAGTGTGCCATTGTTTTTTTACATGGAAATCGTGAAAGGGTAGATAAAGGTATGTCAGTGATGGAGCTGTACGGGCTATTGTGAATAGCCCGTACAGCACCCCCTCGGTTCTCCTCAACCGAAGGGGTCCTGGGGCCGAAGCTAGCCAAAGGATCGGCCGAAGCTACGGCCAGATCCTTCGGCAGCTTTGTGAATAGACCCCATATTCTATTTACTTTATACCTTATAGCAAGGCTATCTTCACAGTTGCAGCAATACCTCTAACTATACATAACTATATATCCAGGAAAGGACTGATTACTGATTACTGTTTTTTCTTGGAGGTTTTCCCACTGGTTACTTTAGAGAGTCGAGGTTACAGCATTCTCCTTTTCTGCTCCTTTTACTCTATCATAGGCTGCCAGTTATGCTGGCACCTCACAAAGTGTAAACAGTATAATAATCATCTTCCAATACGATTCTGATAGTTTATTGCTTGGATACTTACACTCGTCTGCATTTCTGACGACAAATCAGTAATGTTGTGACTCCGATTGAAACAACGATAAGGAATAAACCAGCACTCACACCTTCTATGACTCCAACAAGAGGTTCTGTAAACACAAGTGTTTGAGAATGATATAATTTCTCCAAGAATGTGTGTATGTAAATTTCCTAAAATTTGCTCAGCATTAACCGTACATCACAAACAAGTGCTTATAGATTCTCAAGAATTATAGTCACCAGGGCCTAACAAAATAAATATCATATCTAATATCCTTGGGCCACTGCATTTGGGGTACCAGGGCACGCATTCCATTAATGTTTTAAGATTTCTTGCATATTTTCATTTTTCTAGATGTCTGCTTAAAATATATTGAAAGCAAAAAGCTTGTTTTCATTTACGTTTTGGATACAGTAGGGAATTTTTAAAATAAAGACTCACTTTACTTTACGTCATATACTAAGGTAGGTGAAAAATTACTTTGGAAATAGAAAATTCACTTAGCTTAGTAAATGAGGTGAATTTGTTATGACTTCATTCATCCAATCATGTGCACACAAACATCTTGTTATGTAATTTTCCTTGCACAGAATTGGGTATTCTATCACACTGAATTTTCACTTTGTTTCCCCTTGTTCACTCAGGTAAGTGAAAATGCACTTTACGATGTGAAAATTCACTTTGATAGTAAATATGCTCTACACCTTTAGTAAATCAACCTCACCATCTTACCTGCTTCTGTTGTGATTGGCAATGAGAAGAAAGTATCCGTAAACAAGGGCTCTGAGAACTCCTTTAGATCATCAGAAAAGAGCTGTGTAAAGGCTCTGATACTAATCCTATAAAACAATAAAGAAAGAAATATATTCATCTAATGGTATTTAAGAATGACTCAAAGTTCATTTGAAAACGAAAAACTCTGTTATGTGTAATATCAGTCATATAACAAAATTAAGTCAGTCCATCATCATTTTTACAAACTGAAAACCAATACATATATATATATATATATATATATTTATACACATATTTCTGGCTCAAGTGAACACACATGAATATTACAACACCTTAAACGTATTGTCACAAAGGAAGACACTTGTCTAGGATGCCTCAGGTGGCTAGTTCACTCTCTTTAAAGTGGAAGTAAATGGCTGATTAAAAAAATCAAACAACTTGGTCTCAGAAACTGTTGGGCATAATGTGGTAGTATGCACAGCATACTACCACATTATGGCAGACATACCTACAGACGTGATCTCCAGCGCTGCTTCTCTTGGTCACCATCTTCTTCAGGTCCACTTCTGAGCTCCAAGTCACTTGACTGGCCAGACGCCAAAGATGTAACTCCAGCACATGCACACTTCATCTCAGCAAGAATCCTGTCGAGAATGTACACTAAGCTGTGCATGCGTGGCTCAGTGTACAGTTGTAGAAAAAAGTGATGACAGGCAGGGAGAAACATCTATGGCCGAAGTCTCTTGTGCCATAAAAATATTTTGTCTTTCAGCATTTTCGAACATTTGGACTTCACTTCTGCCTTAAGAGGCCCCTATTCAGCTTTGCTGTGAATTATATCACTGCTCTGAAAATAATATGTAGACCAGAAGACATGGAAAATGGTAACTTATCTTAAGCTTCTCACGCAGATATTTTACTTTCTGACAGATTTGTTTTTAAAATACAGTATGTGCATTTATATTACACAATCTCTCTGTAAACGTTATTCAGAGTATAGCTCAGCTTAGCAGAAGCTTAACAACTCATCTAACCAGTTTAACAAGAGCCATATGACTCCTCTATGCTGCTTTTAGGGTGACATATTTAGATAAATCTTAACTTTAGCTCTCCTGCTCCCATCTGGCCAAGACAATTACTAAGGTCCAATTTAGAGGTTTATAGACAACAGGTTTTGGCCTGCTTTATGTACCACCATCAATTATGTAGCAATAAATAGCATGATTGCATAGAAGGGCTTTCCATTTTCACAAATAGACAGAAAACTCCTATAAACACTTGTCATGGTAAGGAACAGATTAGATCTATTGCTAACGATTAATTTCCAAACTGTTTGGCATTGCGCTAAAGCATACCAAAAATTCTAAGCATACAGATAGCCTCAGAGCTGTTCTTTAAAACACAGCTGATAAGCAGTGGTACCAACAAAGTGAACCCACAGACCTTTAAATGAACCTGTGCTTTGCCCATGCAATGCAATGCAAATTAACAGGTTAACCTAGCTGCTCCCCTTTCCCAGACTTACCTTCCCTATGGAGCATGTCGCTAACTCCACTCCCTCCCACACAGGTGTACTGTGTGCAGGGCAGCCATTAGGCGGTACGGCCGATACTCATGTAAGGGGCCCGGGCAGCCTGGGGTGCCTGCCCAGGTCCCTTACATGACTATCAATCAGCAGCGCAGGGCCCCAGCATTGCCGCTCCAGCGGCTTTGAGACAAGCTAGGGCCCCATCAGCGACGCTGCTCGTCTGATGTTGGACTGACCAGAAGTGACTTCTGGACGGTCCGGTAGCAGACGAAGCCATGTGTGCAGGTAAGAGGAGCTAGGAAGGAAGGAAAGGAGGGAGGGGAGGGATGCACCATGACCAGCCCATCTGATACCCCTTCAGAGCCCACAATAAACAGTCTCAGATGGGCTGTGCAGCATCTATGGTGGGCTCTGCAGGGTCACTCTCAGTTGGGTCCTGTGTCCAGCGCGTCACTAAGCCCTGCGTCCAGCAGCGCGGGGGGGGGGGCAGCCTAAAGCCGTGTAAGGGGGCCACAAAATTTATGATGGCTGCCCTGATTGTGTGCCTAAGCAGCCAATCATCAGCCACCATTGATGTCACATGTGGAAACAAGAGAGTCCTTAGTCCTGTGTGAGCTCTAACCAGAGTGACTTGAAGCTTACACAGGGTTTTTTCTCTTCACTGCTGTGTGTGAACAGAGTAGCCAAGAAAAAAATCAAGCAACATGCAGGGGAAAGGACCAGTACTTAGTGTAGTAATAGTAGCAGTAGTAGTAGAACCTGTCGGAGGGCTAGAAGAGGAGGTGATACACTTCCTGGTTTCAATTTAAACATGCATTTAACGCAAAACAATCATATGTGCATTGTTTTAGTATGTGGGACTCTGAATGATTAAAAGTCTGAAGAACACATTTCAAACCATTCCCATACAGTGATACATTTTGTTAGCCGATATCAGTACATGAGGTGTACTAAGTTCAATAAATACATCCTCATCAACTCATTCTTTTTTCTGTTCTGCAAAATCTGTCAGCTGCTTACAGCATTTCCAAGTAAATTAGATGTTCTTACCGCAATGGAAGCATTGCCAAAAATCTGACAAAATAACACATTTTAGTTTTATTGTTTGTCCCATGTGCAAAGGGCATATGTACTTGTCCTCTAAAGTGTTCCTTTTGACTATCTGACATTATGAGGAAAGTACTGCAGCATGGTGATTGCCAATGACCACTTTTTTTTCTTAAATTAATGTAGGTGTGTGTGTTTTAACCTTAGTTTGCAACTGTGTAATAAGTAAGCTTTTTTATTTAAAATCATCCTTGGTTTACAAGAACAATGTCATAATTCAGTACTTAAAGGACCACTATTATAAAAATATTGTAGTATAATAACAGTATGAGGGTAATTCACATAAATAAAGTGTCAGTATAATAGTTTTTGTTCAAATTCAATTTAATTTAATTATACCAATGTCACAGGTGGACTTTATTCTAAGATGATAAGCTTTTCATTTTTTTTTTAGCATCCAGCCTACATAAAATACAAAAAAAAAAAAAGCATAGAACATAGTCCTATAGGTTTTTGGCTTTTGCTATACGGTAAAAGGGTTGCAGAAAAAATCTTACTCTGTTTTGATGAATCAACTCTTTTAGTAAGAGAAAATAAACACAAAATTGGAGCCATGGCTCATAATAACAAATCAACTTTTATCTTTCCTTTAAATTAAATTGTTATGTGAATCAACTCCAAATGTATGATCATTTTATTTTCTCCAGTTCTCCCATGATCCAATGTAAGCAGCACAAATATATGACATGTTGGCCAACATTTTATATGCTTGCTTTGATAGTGAATTAATGAAATGCTGGAAGTACAACATGGCTTACAATTCAGTGAGAGAGTATACGGTTCACATTTACACTCATGCAGTTAGCACCTCTACCGTTCTGACCTGTAGGAAGTCCTTGGCTTCAGTGGACCATCACAGAATTGTATTTGATTGGCCTCACACTTTCCTCCTAGGATTTCCATTTCCCCACCCAGCTTGATTCTGACAGGTTGGATATTGTAGTCGGGAGTTTCAGCACATTTGCTTCCAAAGTAGTTTGTCTGATATACTTTAATGGAGCTGTTCCTTTTGTAATCAGTATATGTTGGCAGGGGGTGAATTGGCTCTGGCTTCACATTTTCATTGTCTGTGACAGGTAGAATAATCCAAGCAATCTATTAGCATTACGTAGCACATCACAAACCATCGGCTATAGATATCACTCTAGTCACAATACTACTGTTCTGTAAACTCCACAGATAGAAGCTGTCTGCAAAGTGTGCTAAAATTGTATCAGCTCCTTCTGTGTGTTAGGACAAATGAGAATAGTTTCCAGAATTTAGTAGTCAAAAGCCAATATTTTCAATTCAATAATATACATTATAACCTTTAGAATGGCAAATGTGCTATACTTACTACAACAGTTAATACAGTAGTAATGAAATATATAGCGTAGCACTTAGTGACTATCCCCTCAAATTACATATATTTGCTAAATACTTAAACCATTTGAAAAAGGGGTCTATTCACAAAGCTGCCGAGGGCAGCCGAGTGAATGACCGATCAGAAGTGAAGTGATGGCTATTGTGAATAGCCCGTACAGCACCCCCTCGGTTCTACTGAACCGAAGGGGTCCTGGGGCCGAAGCTAGCCGAAGGATCGGCCGAAGCTACGGCCAGATCCTTCGGCAGCTTCGTGAATAGACCCCAAAGACTTTCAGATGGAATACTGATAGCTCACAAATGTTATATTTTAAAATGTATTTTATACGTGTTTATGGAATTTGCTATGCACCAGATGGTTCTTTTTCTTTTTTAGAAAGCAAGAGTTTGTGACTAAGCCAGTTGGGTATAGTTGACTAGGCAAGGATATCTGATTTATACGCTCTAGTAAGTTCAAGGATAAGTGAATGTTGCAAATTCATAAACTTCTTAAATACAAACTATATTATAGCTAATGCTATGAAAAGTGTATTTCAGTAAGTCCTTTTTGCAAAGATTGGCTCATATATAGGGCTACTGTTGTACATATTGGGGTCAATTTACTAAGGGAGTATAATGTAAAATGAATGATAATTTTGCAAAGCAACTGTTTAATTAGCTTAGTAATTAAGGTAAATGTATGTTCATTTTAATCATCCAATCCTGTGCAAGAAATAATGCTGCTCCTTTTTAATCCCCTGCACACGATTGGGTGTACAAAGTGAACGCAGCCTATTTACTAGGCTAAGTGAACAGTGAACATTCACTTTGATAAATTAACATTCTGTACTCCTTTAGCAAATCAGCCTCAGTGTTTCTGAGACTGGGTGCCTTTACCACCCATACGTCATATCATATTGCTACTTTACCCAACTTTCTAAACACTAATCCATAAACCAGAAGAAAAAATGGTTTCCACATATGACTAAGCTTCCCAGATATCTTTGACAAAATAAAAATATCTTTGACAAAATGTAAAATAAAAACATGGCTTAAAGTTTAATTGATGATATCACTTAAAGCGTCACATTTGAATTGTTTTGTAAAGGCAGAAAAATTAAACATCTGTATTCTATAGAGGTTTACCATCTGCTTCTGACACAATCACAGTGAAGTATTTGACAGCTCCGTTGGTGTCACTGAACCAGCTGCAATTAAAACTGAAGTGAATTGATGACTTGCTAATAAAAGTATCTATTTTATTCACTCTAATATGGTTGGGTGGTGCTGGAGGTCCTAAAAGAAAAACAAATGTATAGTTAGCATCTAATAAACTAGTGCCAGACTTTTCATATTAGTTATAATACACTAGACATGTGCGATTTGTTTCATTCCGAATCGAAATTCGGACGAATTTTCGGAAATTTGGACATTCGGATGTATCCGAATTCCGAATTACAGATATAACGAATGCAAATGAATCCGAATTTCCGTTTCCGAAATTCGGTAGCGGTAGTTAGTTCGAACGTTCGTTTCGTTTTCGTTTCTTATTCATTTCGTTCGTTGAAGAAAAACATTTTCCCACTCAAATGTCACTTTGTTGCAAACGAACGAACAAATGTACGAAACGAATAAGAAACGACCGTTAGAACGAACTACCGCTAACGAATTTCGTCCGAACCCAAATTCCGAATTGACTTTCACACCCGAATCCCGAAAAACGAAATAACACAAATCCAAATTTAAAACGAAACGAAACTAAATGAATTTTTTGGCAGTGCACATGCCTATAATACACTGACAAATTCATTGTACACACAGTCTGAATTTTAAAGCATATATGTGTGCGTAGTACATACTCTGGAAAAGCTGTGCTTAGTGCAGGGGCTTTTATGGGGCAAGAATTTGCATTGCAGAATTATATTCATATATCAAAGAGCACATTCAAAGAACAATCAGGCAAAAAAATATATGTCTTGCCATGGTGAATGTTTATGAATGTGACTATCTTTTTAGTAGTTTATATAAGTTATATAGACATTGTAATAGAACCGAACCAGAACACGTGTTCTTTATCACAGCAGCATATATTACATGCAATGACTCGGTTATAACTACAAGTAAAACGTTTTTTCAGAAAAGCAATGGCATCCATAAGATGCAACAGTGTACCTAGTTTTGTCTATGTTCTGCATAAAATTAGTTTATACTAGGTCATAAGTACTTACGATCAATCATGGTTATGGTGCTGTCCTCCACCACCTGGCTTATCATGTCTGCCGAGTGCACTTTGATGGACACTACATATCTTTTATGTGGTTCAAGGTGCATAATTGTGAGCGTTGACCTGTGTTTTTCTATCCTTTTCGAGTATTCCACCACATCAGTGCCATTCTTTTTGTACTCTATGCTATATGCATCAAAGTCAGAATCTGGGGGTGTCCATGAACAGGAAATAGCAGTGGAATTTTGAGGCCGGCAATGAAGATGTTGTAACTTGTCAGGTTCTATGAAGATAACCCATTTGTTGTGGTTAGTGAATCATACAGTTCCACTATCAAATCACATGACTATTTTAATCTTTGAAGTCACACAGATTAACACAGCTTGAATAATATAAATGAGTGTTTTTAACATGATTGAATTGTTCATCCAGTAACGTTTCCCTGAATACTCTCATAATTTCTGTTCTATGAAGGCTTTACATTGCTGTGCAATGACTTAGTGGAGGACTTTTTGGTTCCTTAAAAGGGAATTATGGGGAGAGTGAAATACAATCATCCCCATAATTAGAGTCAACGTGTGACACTGCAGCTGTGTCAGTCAGTCAGCGCTCCAAGTAGGGATTCCCCCCTCCCCTGTTCTTCCATTTCTGGCTGGAGGGCAGACACGGGAGGGGGCAGGCACAGCTGGCTCTGGATCAAGAGAGGCAGAACCAGCTGTCAATCAGGTGGCGGGGTGGACCAACAATATTGTCGGGATCTTTTCCAGCCGCAGTTCAGCTCTCTGCTGTCAGTATATTGCAAGCAATAGCCTGCTATATGCTGAGTTCTGGGTCACAGAAGGACATAATAAATGTCCTCCTGTAAACCCTAAAGAGAACTATGACCGAAAAAAGGTTGGGCCTTATTTCTCATTCAAGTCGTTCCTCACCATAGCTTTCTGGTTTATACTTTTTTGTTGGTCTCCTATGCCTAGGCCATTGAATTCAATGCTTCCATACACTGCCAAGCTGATGGCTCACAAGTCCGAAACAGCTGTATGCAGTCTGGGATTAACGGCTATATTATCTTAGCCTGTAAATATGCTATATACAAGTGGTTTTGAATCTAAAGTTAGCAAATGGGACGTAAAAGGAATCATTTGCATTTCTCCGCTAATACCCTGAAATAAGGAATAATTCTATAGTTTTTTTGGATATGCGGTCGAATGAGGCATGTAAATAAGAAGGCTCTAATGTGCTACACACTGATTCAGGGGAAGTTTTTTTGCTCTTTTAGTCCCTCCTAACCCCACCCTCCTGGATTATGCTTTTTCATGTTAGGCATGAAAAATGGTGATAAGTTAATCGGTTTACTGTACCCTGTAACTATACCCAGTTACTTTTTACTGATTAGGTCATTTGTTCCCAGGTTACCCAGTAACATTAATAGATAAGTATAATTGGAAATTGACCACAGAGAAAATATAAAACAATTTAATTAAATATATTTTACATCATGGATTTTATAATGTTGATAGATAAAGTGTGTAACCTATGGTGCGCAAATCTAGACAAATCTACATCCAGTATACTAAGTATAAGCAGGCAGTTTTAGAATTAGTATCTCAACAATAATATGTGTATTCTGTTTTTAAACCCCAATAAAAGTGCCAAGGTAGATAAAGAAGGAGCTTATTCATTTTTAGTATCCATAGATCTTAATTCATATAGTCTTAAAAGTAAGAAAAGGACATGCTCCGATCCAACTATAAATCCTCTGTAAACTCATCCAAGTTCAGTTTGACATGTTCTTGCAGCTTAAAATATGATGTGATAAAAAAATCTATAGTATGTCCATATCAAAAAAACGTTATTTCAAAGTGACTAAAACAAAAGCTTGATTGCTATTGCTGTTTTAAAAAAATGTCCAACTATCAGCATTGATACACTACTTTGGTTTCATAATTATACAAATACACAACATCAGATAACAGAGTGAAAACAGTCCTGGCTGTGGCTTACTTACTGCTGATCTGTGCAGCTGTAAATACCTTCAGGTAGGGATAAAAGTGCCTTCATATTTCTATCTGAATGGCAAAACACAGACATAACATTCACTGCCATTTTATGTGTATTTGTTTTATATGACTTACTTGTTCTTACGGTGCCAACAGTGGGCTGACTAAAAGTCTTCTTTAAATTTCCACTGACACTTCTCACACTGAATTTATATAGACGCCCAGGTCTTAGGCCAGTAACAATTCGTCCATATGACTTGCCAGTGCTGTAAGGGTTAAACACCACTAATGGGTCTGTAGGTGTCCACTGAAGTTCAAAGTCATCATAGTCAGACCAGTCTGGTGGCCCTTGCCAATGTATGGACACAGAAGTATTCTTCACATCAGTAAATGAAACCAAATTTGGTGCTTGAGGAGCTAGGCAGAGAAAAATAAATGAAATATATAATTCATAAATTATATATCTAAATATATATATCTATATATTAATATAATATACTGTAAATTAATTGACTCCTGTGTGAAAAAGCAACATTGCTATTTTTCTCATTATCACTGATTTATCTAGGTATAGCATATATGTCACATTGATTTCATTTAAAGAACTACACTGGTCTTTGAGTTAACGATTTAATAAATAGAGACTCATTCATTTGAAGAAAGAAGTTCAACAGCTCCTGCAGAGTCTTGTTAAAATGTTCCTTCTAAATTCCACTGATATAGTTTGACCTTAACAGCATCAAACAGTATGTAATATGTCAACTTGAGGAGCTGGCTAATGCTCTGATTTTATATATAATCTACACTAAAAATGAGTTTCTATGATCTTTCAGAGTAATCACAATGGGCAAAAATAATATAAAATGTGTAATAACAATTATGGCCAATAAAATCCTGTGGTTGAGCATATGTTTTCGTATATGAGGGTGCTGTCTAATTTACAAAGCCAGCAAGTGTTTGACTTAAAAGAAACTTGCTGGTTAATGTGCTACTTAAAAGAAACTTGCAGGTTATTGATTCCTTACTGTGAATGAAAGGCTAGAATGACTGTAAATCCTTAGACCAGTTTCAATATATCACACAAAGTGCACTTCAGAACTGAATTGCAAATGTAGTTTTTTGGCAGCTGAAGTTCAGCAATCTACACCAATCTACAACATGTTTAACATTAAATAGAGTGAAGCCATGCAGGTATCAGCATAGCTGTTTTTGTTTTGTTGAATGTGAAGTAGTTTTAGTGCAACATAGTACCATTATCAGGGCATAGAGATGGGCAAGTCATGAAATCCATTCTGCATAGTGGTGTCCATTTCTTGCTCCACCTGGAAAATATTCCATATGTTGGGGGTGAACATTCCCAATTTACAACAAGTTGTGTCTCATCTTAACCAGTTTGCTTATCTCTATCAAGGCAATGCTCACATACAAGTGAGCTTTCACAGGCAGCATGTGACTATGGTTAGCTCTCTTGTGTTGTAACACTGGGCTAAATGTCCCAGTTTAGACACTATCTGCATGGTGTTTGTATTCTCTCCCCATATTTGTGTGTGTTTCCTCTGGTATCCTCACACAATTCAAAAACATACTGTTAGGTAGAATGACTTTCTCACAAAACTGGATGTAGAAGGCACTTGTATTGTGGGGGACAGGTATTTTTGTGAATTGTTCGGTGAATGTATGTAAAGAATAGCATAATATATCTGTGCTACATATCATTACAGCAAACAAAAATATACAGAATAATAGTAAAGAATTAGGTAATACGTACCTGTTCTTGCATCTGCTGTAGCTTTATTAGACAAATCACCGCTGTGAGTCACTATCACCAATTTGTATATTCTCCCAGGAACCAGCTTTTGGAAATTATATTCACTAAGGTCATTGCCTTGTAACTTTTCTTTCTGTGTGCCATTAGGGTTATATAGTATCAGTTCATACACATCCACATCTCCTAAAGCTAGATTCCACGTAAACCACAGGCTATCAGACGTATTTCTGTTTGATGCTTGAAGAGATGTTACAGGGGCTGGAACTGGTAAGAAAAAAAGACAAAAGTTTTCTTTTTTTGTCTTCTGGTATTACAATGTTTATTCTGCTGAAGAACTATAAAGATGCTAATTATATGAAAGGGGCTGTTTCTGGAAGCATACTTTTGGCCAAATACATGAACTCCATTATAGTATAGATTAATTATCCCGAAATGATTAAAAAATAAATAATTATGCCATGGCACATGATCTTTCAAATGACAATGAAACTATTAAGAAAGAGGATTATAAACAAAATGCAATATTCAGCAATAAATATGTATTGAAATAGCTATTTATCTGTGTCTATTTCTTTGTTAAGATTAGGGGAGTAATAGGGTTTAGTGTGAGGGTGAAGATAACTGGTAGGAATACATTGTTAGTGGGGGGGACAGTGGTGATTACAACAAAACTTGATCTTTGAATCTAAAGCTCCACCATGACCAAAAGTCTGACATATAGTTTACAATACTAAACAATTAAGTGACACTAAACTCAAAAGTTAAACCTTAAAAAATGCATTTAGGTACCTTAGCTATTAACAATACTGTAACTTATTTGTGTATCACTCGGCTGTAGATCCTCAGATCATCCCTGTATTGGTGCGGACACTCCCCTTCCTTCTGGAGGGTGGCTACTTTTGTTCCCCATGGTCCCTGTGTGTCTTGTAAAGTAATCACTGCTCCAAGCTTGCTCCCGTGATGGACTACAATCTCATGTTTAGTTTACTTCTTTGTACTGAGATTGTAGTCCATCACAGGAGTGAGCTTGGAGCAGTGGTCACTTTACAACATACACAGGGACCAAGGGGAACAAAAGTAGCCACCCTCCAGAAGGAAGTATAGTGTCAGCAACAGATTTGTATATCTACAGCTCAAATAAGCTACATTTTTGTTAATAGTTAGGGTACTTAAATGTATTTTTAAGATTTTACTCCTAAGTTTAGTGTCACTTTAATATACCTGCTTTACCACTTTTATTTAATTTCCATGTTTCACTCTTAGTAATTATAATGGGCTACGTGACTTAATAAGGAAAGACAATATGTGCGTGTCCTGTTACATAATCATGCTTATTCATTACCTGTCCTCCCATGGACTGAAGACTCATTTGTCAGAGATCCACTATGAGTAACTATCACCAATTTGTAGAGGCAACCTGGCAGCAGTCCCTGAAATGAGCAGTGTTGAAGAAGTTGGCTTTCAGACTTCCTGTCATGCAATGTATTGTCTGGGTTGTATAGAAAAATATCATAAGAGTCCAGTTCTCCCTCTGAGCTTGTCCATGTGAATGACAAACTGTCTGTGTTGTTCCCTGTGATCTTAAGATTGGTCACTGCATCCGGGACTGAAAAATACAATAATAAAAGGATCAAAATTGAAATTAGGTTAGCAAACCTGAAGAAGAACTAAACTGATTTTATAACAATTAGAATACCCAGCACCTCATTAAAGAGGATCTTATCATATCCATACCACATAAAGATCTACAACAGTTTACCACAATATCTAATTAGGGCACAAAACGTACGGGACTTATAGTGTAAATAATAATGTCTATGTGCAAAGTTCTGTTATTTATAGCAACTAATTTTGATCTTACTTGAGTCATACCAATGAAAGATGAATGCTATTGCCAAGGAATAATGTATTTTACAAGCTGAACTCCAGGCATGCAGCTCAATACACAAATGAAATACATATATGGAATTTCCTTGCCAAAATTTTTGAAATTTGAATTTATATTTGTTCAACCAAAGCCCTGCCACATTGTACAGGCAGGCTATTGACCTGACATGTAGGTCACTTTACCGCCCCCAGCCTGTGTTTTGGTCTGTGATTAGGCAAAGGAAGGGCAGCATTTAATGGATGTGGTCATCACTTTTCTCTCTCTTGCTGCCAGCATATTCTTTGCCAGCATATGTGCATATAGTACACCTTATTGGCTCAGGGTCTGAGCCCTTGATTTCTACTGTAAAGATAATTACAGAACAGTAATATCAATACATGTTCAAGTACTTACATTAGCTGCATTTAAAATACATTTAATGGTTGTTTTTCTTGAGCCCATATTTGCGCATAATGCTGTTTTATATCTGCCTGTAATTCAGCTTTAAATAAGCCTGCTAAAAGGATAGTTTGTAAATTAACAGAGAATGGGAATCTATTTCAACTTGGTTGGTGATTAATTGCTTTTGGCTAATGCGTATTTATATTGTGTTAAAAACAAACAGTCTAGACAGCCTCTGGCATTCTTAATTATATATACAAATGATGTGATGAGTTGTTACACTTGTACACCCTTCATGAGTCTGCATTGCGTTTCTTTAAAGTGTTCTAGTTTGTAGATGAAGCCCATAGCCCTTGCCAAACATCTGTTTACCTGTCCTCCCTGCTGTTTCTTCTGCTGTGCTGAAAAGACCACCGCTGACTGTGAACACTCGGATCTTGTACATTTTTCCTGGAACAAGGTCTTCAAACTTATATGATTTGGTGTTAGCTGGTACAGATTTGTTATTGACTAATACTCCTTTATCGGTAAGAAGAAGAAGATCATATCTGTCTGAAATGCCTGGTGCACTCTGCCAAGTGACCATCAGCAAGTGACTGTTGTACATATTGTCGACTGTCAATCTGTGAACTGTGCCTGGTACTGGAAAATAAAGAAGCACCTGCATGTCACCCTGAATTGAATTATTACTGCATATTATTGTATAGGAGAATGCATTTAGCTGCAAATAACAACACACAAACAGCAGTAGCTTAAATAAAGAAATTAATAAATAAAGGTACAAAAATTAAATACAACAAGGTACAAGACAAACTTTCCTAACATACAGATACAGTCCGAAAAGAAGGTCATCTTAAAGTGACACTCAAATCAGGAGGTAAATCTTGAAAATGCTTCCTTCTGGAGGATGGCTACTTTGTTCCCCATGGTCCATGTGTCTGTTGTAAAGTAGCCACCACTCCAACCTCACTCACGTGATGGACTATAATCTCAATACACATTAGTAAACTAAACATGAGATTGTAGTCCATTTACGGGAGAGAGCTTGGAGCGGCGATAACTTTAAAACGCACACAGGGACAATAGGGAACAAAAGTAACCACCCTCCAGAAGGAAGGACAGTGTCAGCACCAATTCAGAGGTGATTTGAGGACCTGCATTGAACTAATACACACACATTAAATTTTTGTTAATAGTTGAATGCATTTTTAAGATTTAACGCCTGAGTTTAGTGTCACTTTAATCTTTACATGTTATTGAGTGTATATATATATAAATAAACATGCTGTATAGTGTTATGTATCATGTTGGTGAACAGTTCATCTTGACATCTTTAAATGGATCAAACTGGTTCACCTAAACTGAGATTTAATCCAGATCAAATACATTTGCAGATACCTACCTAAACTAAGATTTAATCCAGATCAAACAAGTCTGCAGATACAGTAATCCACCATGGAAAGTAATTCCCTGAGCTCCCTGTGAATTGACCTGATAAAGTAATCCTATGGACCCTTTCCCAGCCCACTTACATATCTCAAAGAGTGAGTAAACAAATAAGTGTTTGCTGTTTAAATAAATGGCTTGAGCATGATTTCTACTCTGCTATTCATAAATACATGAACTAGTTCCTATTAGCTAAGTGATGTAATTAGGAATTACATCACTTATGCATTACATTCAAAGATCAATGACATCAGTTATGAATTACTTTCTAATAGTTAAAGTGACATTAAACCCTCAGATTTTTTAACATAAAACAATACTGTAATGTGTGCCTTACTTTAATCCATGGTTGTTTCCCTTCTCTTTGCTCCTCTTCCTTTTCTTCTTCTGTTCTCATGCTGGGCAGAACTTCTGTTTTGCCGCAGACTGCCTTGTCTCTGGAATGGATACATGGTGTCTGTGTGAAGGTTCACAACCTGAGCCAGCACTACAGGAAGAGGCAGTCAGGTGCAAAGGGAAGTTCTCCCCAAGCATGAGAAGAGATACAGATTTAAAAGGAAGAGCAGCAAAGAGAAGGGAAACTACCATGGATTACAGTAAGGCACACATTACAGTATTGGTTTATGTTAAAAAAATCTGAGGGTTTAACGTCACTTTAAGGGATGCAATTATAAATGGCAGTGCTGGATTTCCACCCAATATTTCCTAAGCTATCATTCATTTAATTGTATTTCTCTCGTGAACTTGGGACTCTGACAGAAGGGAGGATTATGCTTCTTGCCAAAATGTAATAGATTTTCAATAATTTGTTTTAGCCAGTGGTATATATTGTATTAAATATAATACATTTTGAACAGGTGTATTATCATGAATATTTAATATATTCCTATACCTTAGGTATTTTAAAACTGTGACTTTTTTATATTAAATGCCTATTAATGATACCAACTAAATAATGTGCCTTACTTGTTCTTCCAAATGCCGTGAGGTTTTTGTGTAAGCCTCCACTGTTTGTCTGTACAGCAATCTTGTATTGCTCCCCTGGGTCCAGGTTGTTGAAGGTGTGCTCGTAGATGTGCTTGGATATAGTGTGAGACTCTATCTGGTAGTTCTGGCAGAAGATGGTCACTGTATAAGAATCAACATCTCCACCTCCAGGAGCCCAGTTTACTTTTAGACTGTTTGTTGTTCCATGTGGTGAAATGTGAATGCTCTTTACAGCACTTGGAACTAGGATAAAAACAAAAGACACATTCGGGTATTTACAATATACATATACAGACTATATCCTATAGTTTCATAGCTCCCTTTTGGAAATTGTAAATAGTCTTATTGTAGTGCTCAATGCTTTCATTCATTGTTGTTATTACTAGAGCACATTGATAAGGAAAACTAAACTCCCAGATCTACTATATACTATCCATTGCAAGGAATTCGCCCAAAGCAAATATTTACTTGCTTTTGTTCAGAAGATATTAAAATAGGTAATTCCATAGTACTTGCTGAAATGTTTTATAATAATATTAATTAATATATTCATTTATGTTATAATGCCATTGTTGTGAGTTAGAAGTGATAGGATGCAACCCACACATTTTAAATTTATACTATTACTACCTACTGTCATCTGCATTATTGCTGACCTTCTCAGAGACAATAAAGGTGAAATTAGGACATTAAAGTATTTAGGGATCTGCTTCTGAAGGGCACTGCCTGGCTGGATGACCTCCAATGTAAGGGCCTGTGTTGATGGGCTTTAAATGGGTTTTGCATTCCCATGCATGTCTATGAGAATACAAAACACTTAGGGGGTTATTCACAAAGCTGCCAAAGGCAGCCGAGTGAATAACTCAGCTGAAGTGAGCCGAACAACGTCTGGCTATTCACTCCGGCTCAGTATAGCTGATTTCAGCCGTACTTCGGCTGAAATCAGCCATGCATCGGCTGCCTTCGGCTGCACGTTGGTAAGCGGAACATGCTCTGCATGTTCGGGTGAGAGTGCAGAAGGACTTCGACCTTCGACGAACGGTAGTGAGTGAATAGCTGAATGCCACCGAGGGGCATTCGGCTCGGCTATTCTGCTCAGTACCTCTGTGGTACCAAGCAGAATAGAAAATAGAATTTTTTTTTTATAAATATCATTAATAATGTAAATACATTTTTTAAAAGAAAAAAAACTAAAAAAACTATTGGGTGGAGCTAGTGACAGCAGTGACAGCTATCTCCGCCCAGCTGTTTCCTATTGGCCTCCACCTGCTAGAGTCTTCTAGCAGGTCCCAGCCAATGAATAACAACTGGGCAGAGCCGGCCGTGACGTCAGTTGTTATTGTTTAATGACAGATCAGCGTCCCCAGGGACACTGATCTGTCATTACAACTGGGTGGAGCCAGCCGCGAGATCACAGCTGGCTCTGCCCAGCTGTCATTTGCGGGGTTTACGGTGGACCTTCGGCAGGCCGTTTGCTTGCTTCGGGTGTCACTAAGACTGAACCGGAGGTCTCTGGCGCCCGAAGAGAGCCGAAGGATCAGCCAAAGCTACGGCTGGATCCTTCGGCTCCTATGTGAATAACCCCTTTAAAGCAGGTCAATGCATGACAAAGGAGGTCAACTAATAGTCATATGCACCTATCAATGAATTCTGAATGATCTCAGAGGCATCTAAAACTGATGTCAAATTGATGCCATCAACACAATGCCAACGCATAGTGGCACAGGGCCTGTCTCTCATTTTTTTACTATACATTAAATGATATATGGTTAATAATAAGGAAAATGGTTCTGCAGAAAGCTTCTACCTGTTAATCCCTCCACAAATGTTGATCTCTGTGTATCACCACTGAAGGTGAGCACAAGGATTTTGTAACGGCGACCAGGAATGAGAGAGGTGAAACGGTATTCAGTAGCTGTGTTACTCAGTGTAATGGATGGAAGGACCTTCATGTCATTGTATAGGAGCTGAACTTCATAGCTATCAACATCTCCATCAGCACTTGACCAGGTCACGTAGAGCTCCTCACTGCTTCTGCTGGCAAGGGTGAGTTTTTTTACAGCTTCTGGAACTAAGAAAAAAATCAATTTAATACATTTAAATGGTAATGGAATGACGCAATAATAACACATTTGTACTGATGCTTTTAAAGGTTGCATCATACTTACAGGTCCTGCCATTTGCTACAACGCTGGCCTCATACTTTCCACTCTTAGTGCTGACAGTTATGCTATAGAGTCGGCCCGGCACCAGATCGGAGAATACACATTCACTCTCTGATTTAGAGACATTTTTGATATTAATAAAGCCATTGTTGTTTTTAATGGTCACTTGGTATTGATCGAAATCTCCAGTTGCTCGCAGCCAAGATGCTTTAAGGTAATCACTCCTGGCCGCATTGCTCACTGTTAGTCCTTGCACGGCAGAAGGAACTGGAAAAAATATGAAGCAAGGTTTATAGTTGTATTTGATCGACGTGTCTGCTTCCAACCTACCTATCTTGTAACAAACGAATGAAGTAGTATAAAACAATGTTATATTACTAATAGATATGACTTTAACTTTTATGTTTACTGTGCCAATATTGAATGTGGAAAGTATTTTAATTTAAACATCTGGCACTATTTCAGAAATCTTAAAAGTATTAATTTGTAACAATCATTTGGACATTGAAGGTCTTAGTGGAAAACATGTCATTGTATCATTAATGAAATGCTGCAGATTCAATTTGCACTGTTTTTGCTGGCACAATCACTTTAAACACCACATGCAATTTAACATCCATACACTTGAATGTGCCATCAGTATTACTATTGAGATAGCCCTACTAAACTGATTGTTTTGCTTTTATTTATCCCACACTCTATAGCAGGACAAGTCTTATATCGGCACACTAGCTGTGTTGAAGGTACAAATCCCATCATGCCTCCGCCTCTGGAAATCATGCCTGTGGCTGTCAGAGTCGTGTAATGCCTAATGGGATTTGTAGTTTCACCACAGCTGGAGGGCCGAGGTATGGCTACTGCTGCTCTACAGTTAAAAATGTTTTAAGAAAATACTATAGTGGAAAAGTAGATCCCAATTTGGTGACCAATGGATTTTTATTTATAAGTGCTCATCTCTCAAATAAATAGAATAACAATACTTAAAGGCATATCTCACCTTTAAAAAATATGCATGCACACACATTAACAAAAGAAAAAATGTGCATGAATTATTATTTTACATTTGAGCCTGCAAAGCATTACAATTGCGATCAGTGGCTGGCAGGTGCAATGCTCAGGCTCCTGCAGACTCTTTCTCCCAGCCCCTGTCTATACCGAGGTACTATTCTACTGCTATGGGGCTGGAAGAAAAAGCAATCAATTGATGTGACCGCACTTGTGCTCCAATGAGAACTACAAGTCCCTCTGCTATGCTGGCAGGCAAGACTCGTAGTCTCTTCATTCACAGATCCTGTGAATAGATCTGTGACTGAACGATATGGCTGTGCATGTCTGGAATTTAAATCCAAACAGAGAAGAACCCCATGATTCTGGTAAGATTGTAGACTGTGCCCATGTGTCCTGTTCCACCCAAGATATGGGTTAACATGAAACACGGTCACAAAGGTGATTTTAAGCTGGTCATACACTGCTTGAAATTCAGCCCCATTTCCTGCTGAACTGGCCAACATTCGAGCTGTGGGGGACCCTGTTGCCACCACCTGGCTTGACAAAAGTCAGTTTTTTATTGACCTTTGCCGAAGGAGGCATGTAAAAAATTGTTGACTCCAGTCACTGTTTGGGCAGCCGTGGGTCCCAACTGTTAATGAGTACAACAACCGGAAGGGGAGATAGCTTCTGGATGGAATAATCAATTAATTTCTGCTGTTTAGCCCTGATTGCAGTCACTGTTTGGGTATTCAGCAGCCGTGGGTCCCAACTGTTAATGAGCACAATAATGAGCACAATAACCAGAAGGGGATGGGGGAAATCAATTCATTTCTGTTGTTTAGCCCTGTAGAAAAAAATCTAAAAAGTGTATTTCTAGCTTTAGAAAATGTTTCTAATGCTTTTTACATTTCTTAAAGGTAGATCAGAGTAGCATTGGATAGTTACAAGGACTTAAACATATTTGAAGCACCTATAAAAACATGAAAGACCTTTACTACCGGTTGAGGTTGTGTTTTGCAATTTCGTTTTTCCAGTAACAGATCACTTGTCTAAAATATTCATGAATAAATGTTCACATTTCCCAAGAAATCCAGTGACACCTCATTCAGTGCAGTGGTACATAATAAGTAACTGTTCATTGCAAGTTGTTCCTTTTATTCAGTCATGTTCATTATATAACTAAAGGTGTCAACTATCAATCTCTAACCTGAGTCTTGTCTCTTACCTGTCCACTCTCGACTGAAAGAATAATTCTCAAACTTTCCACTGCGTGTGGTCACAGTCACATTGTACAGGCGTCCAGGAGTGAGAGAGCTGAAGGAGCACTCGGTGACAGTTTTAGGGAGAGTAAGTGGTGGAAGAAAGTTACCATGGTGAGATAATGTTACCACATAGGCATCAATGTAGCCAATAGCTGGGAGCCAGGAAATGCTGAGGTAGGCAGTCCGATCAAGGTTATTAACAGTAACTCCACTTACACTGGAAGGAACTGAAATTCAGGGAGAGAAATTTGGATAGTTTTAGCTGTCATGTTTGTGTATGTATAAATTTAACAACTTCTTACATATAGCAGCCTTTATATAGAGGAGCATGGAGTGATATTATAGGTTATATAATATTTACATTCTAACACTGTTGAATTTGCAGTTGCTGTTCAGTTATTTTTATTACTTCTTCATGAAATCTGCTGTTCTGTCCTCTCTCAGTTATTACATGTTGGAAGTGATACTACACCATGTATTGTAATATTACCAAAAAAAATGTCTGCCCCATGCTCCTATATGTTCGTGTAATCTGTGTTGTCTTCACTTGTGGAAGTGTAAGACCCAATTTACCACATTATCCATTGTACTATTCAGTAAAGCGTCTGCCCCATGCTCCTGTACTCTTCTGTAATATGTAGTAGTCTGTGTTGTTTGCTTTTATGGAAATGTAAGACCCAATTTACTACACCGTTCATTGTAATAATTAGTAAAGTGTCTGTCCCATGCTCCTATATGCTCCTGTATCTGTAGTAATCTGTGTTGTCTCCACTTGTGGGAGTGTAAGACCCAATTTACTACACCATCCATTGCACTATTCAGTAAAGTGTCTGCACAATACTCCTGTATGCTTCTGTAATCTGTAGTAATTTGTGTTGTTTGCTTTTATGGACGTGTAAGAACCAATATACAACACTGTTCCTTGTAATAATTAGTACAATGTCTGCCCCATGCTCCTGTATGCTTCTGTATCTGTAGTAATCTGTTTTGTCTCCACTTGTGGAAGTATAAGACCCAATCTACCACACCATCCATTGTACTAATCAGGAAAGTGCCTGCACAATACTCCTATATGCTCCTTTATCTGTAGTAATCTGTGTTGTCTCCACTTTTGAGAGTGTAGACCCAATCTACTACACCATCCATTGTAATAATTAGTAAAGTGTACTCTGAATCACTGAACTGGAACAAGTCTGAAGATCAGGGAATCGTAATGAAATCAGAAGTTCTCATCTGCATACTTGTACTAGGTGAGTGAATTGAAGCAAGAGGGTCAGCATAAAAGCCAGGCAAATAGCACTTGCAGATTAACAAGGCAACTGAAGCTAAGCTTCTTTTAAACCCTATATTAAAATTTTGTAAGAATGCATTTATTAATCTCTAATATAGTTTAAAAAAACTAATTTGCCCTCTGCTGGTCATTGGAGAAACTTTCTACAGCCATGATTGTGAGTGTGAATGAATGTTATCACTTCTTGCCAAAGCCTTTTGCCACTACTTGTCCTGTCCATTGTTTGAGAGTATGTAGATGTGTCCCTTAAGTACAGGACATAATCACTTATGGGAAGGAAACTGCTTGATTAGGTTCACATAACTATGAACCCCACAAAACCTGCTGATCTTGTATAATTAAACATTCATTCTTGACTTAGGTCTAATTTCCTGTACATAGCCTTTTCACTTAATCTGTATCCTCTCTCCTCCCTAAAGATCCTTAGAAATGGTACGTGTACTTTTTTCAAGCCACACTTGAATGACTTCTTTATTTTTGTAATTTTAGGCAGCAGTACATATATGCACAGTCTCCAAAATGTAAGTCTTGACTGTATAATTCTGTAATATTTCAAAAGCACAGACTATATACATATTGTGACAGTGCTGTGCCTTGTCATGATGTAATGAGGATTAGAGGTCATCCAGAATTCTCACTCATACAGGTTGAGGAGCTTGGGGATGTGTGCATCATTAGGAGAAAATTGTCCTTTCAGTTTTCTCCAGGGTTGGTTAAACCTGTACTGGGTCCTGGAATCCAGAGGCTTTGTAAAATATTGGGTGGGATGAAACCTCCTACAGTGGGCCTGCAATTTGCTGACAACCAGTATCTTGATTGTGTAGGTGCACAGAGTCCATTTGCTTTAGGTGCTAATAAAAAGTTCAGGCCTTCTCCCTGCCTCCCTAAAGAAGGCAGCAGTATCTGTACAGGCACAATAGCAGTGTACGTCTGTGTTCTGGCTTGTCTGGCCGTAAATAAAGGCAACCTAATAGGGTAATTGCCTGAAAGCTGTGAAAGTCTGTGCAGAGACAGACTGTGGGAAGCAGTCCATTTAGCCAGATAGATGTTCTTTACTGTGTATGCTGTGGGATGCTGAATAGTCTTGCACTATATTTCTCGTTGAAACTCGGTTTGCCGAAGCTTTCCCAAGCCCAAATAAATTTGTCACTGGCACACCCTTCTCCTGGCCCAATCAGTTGTTGGGGGGGCATTCCCTGCTCCACATGTCACAAGGGGGAGGGGAATGCATGCAACCAAATAGGTCCAGAGGGGGGGAGTCAGTGGCAGATTTGTAGGTGATTGGATGAACTCTTGCGCACAACACTAATGCTGAGCCCCCGCATGGGAGACCTGATGTAAAGTAACTTTCTTTTGAAAAAAGGTGGGAGGAAAATCCTGAAATGAATGTTTGTTGAGTGAAGTCCTTGAAGTTCTACATTTGAAGATAAAACCATACAATATGTAGATACAGGATCATCTACATTAAAATTTGAATATAACATGGGTGCAAAAAATGAAAAAAGGGCCTCAATCATGAAGGGGTTAAACTATGGTGTTTCCAAAAAAGCAAAAAAAAAGCAAACATACAAGACATTTTTTTTCCTAGCATACAATTTGCTGATGTAAAATGTTTGTTACAGCTGTGACAGCTGATCAATGCACTTTTACACACATAATAATGTTATGCTATTATCTTACCTGTTCTGCCCTCTGCCAGGCTTTGTCTGGATGACATTCCACCACTCACAGTTGTCACCACCACAGAATATAAACCTCCTGGCTTCAAGGAGTGGAACTGATATTTGCTGGTGTCACTGGATACACTCTCATTCTTTATGACAATATTTTCATGTATCAGCAGGACCTGAAAAGAGTCCACATCTCCTCGACCTCTTGTCCACTCCGTATACAAGCTGGTAGATGTCCCCATATTTGTCAAATTTAAATTAACCACCTGGGAAGGAACTGTATAGGAGATAATTATTCAAGCTATTCAATTCTCATGATGAAAAATGTAATACTTTCTAATTTTGAATCTTCAGTTTTCTGGTATAACTGTACTATATCCTTCTCACCTAAAGCAAACTTCAGTCCAGCCCTACACTACACTGGCCCCTCCTTTTAGTGGTAGAGAGGAATGTGCTCCTAGACACTAGATGACAATCTCCTGATATGTCTCTGAGAAACTATGAGGCAACTGCAAATCTCAATTTTTTTTCTCCCTGGTAAGCCACCAGTGGAGATGTTTCTAAGTAACCGATCATGTTTAGGGGCTTGGCAGAAGAGGCAGATACCTGAGGGTGGTCGGATACTTGGGCTTGCGTGTTCAACTGCCCTATAATAAATATAAAATAATCTAACAGTACTACACAGACCCTCTGTTTGACCACTGCTCCTACTCTGTAACATTGGAGGTGAACACAGACCTAGTGTGTCTATTTGACTCTTAATGAGGTTAAAGCAAAATAGCCATTTGAATCAACCTATTCTGGATGTCTGTTCTAGGTGGGCAGCTAATTTGCCTTTTATCAGCCCCGCCTGCTACATAAAGTAAGATAAAACTGGTAAACAATTGTAGTCAACACAGTTCTGCTCCTGGAAGCTAAAAATAAGTTTACATTTTTTGTATTCTTTACATAATCCTGCAATATCATTAGATGGCAACAACCTGCTCTGTAGCTCTATTTGGTATCATACTAAAGAAGGAGTGTATGTTCATACATTAATGTTATCAGCCTTTTCCTTCCTGTTTCCCTTAAGTCAATTCCCAAGAGTTTTCCATCCCACCCTTCCTTTTAATTGGTCTGCCTTGCAAGTTTGTATGTATATGTGTTGAAATACTGTAGCTGGTATCTCCGTGTGGAAATTTAAGATACCATTCTGTCAACATTCATGTAAGTCTCCTGCGGAGAAGAGTGATTGATGAAAAAACAGCTGATCAGCTCCCCTGATTTGATCCACCGAGTTCTAATCTACTGTAAAAACACTGGCATATTTATTGGTATCTCCCTGGGGTATCACAAAAAGTGTGATCTACCTGCCATTACGATACCAACTTGTGTTTCATTCAGCTTCATGTGGGTGCTTCAGGTTCAGTGCCCTAAAAATCTGTTTCAGGGACCTCGGTAGGTTGAAATATGTTTTTCATTTACCTATATAACAAAACACCAGCTAAATGACTATATTTCACTAACAGTTTTCTTGAACATTGAAAATCCAATAATCATTCTCACCCGTTCTTCCTTCAACAGAAGCCCAGTTGTTGAGGTCTCCACTGATACTGGTAACTTTGGCGGTATACTTCCTTCCAGGTACAAGATCTGTAAAGGTGAATTCCTTGGCTTCTCTAGCAAGAACTTTGTTGATGAGTGTAAGATCCCTGTCTGCAAGTGAAACCACATAATTGTCCCACTCTGCAAGAGGCGTCAGCCATGTCACCGTGAATGAAGTCTCGTTGGAATGCTTAACTCTAAGCTGCAAGACAGCCTGAGGAGCTGTGACAGAAACAACCACATTAGTAAAACAAAGCAATGTATTACTTCTGTATTTGCTACTACCTCTACATTTGATCACCCTAAAAAAAATTATATTCCAAATAGATAAAATTACTTTAGTGGAATGTCAGTAAGACAAAAATCCCCTGTAAATGTAATATTTATAAGTTTTTAGCCAATTGTGAAGGGACTCCTGGCTTGGATCTGCAGCAATTTACTAGATAAAGGAATAAGGTAAAAACATAATATGAAATGTATTCTAGATGTAACCATTTTCAATGATTCACCATAACTGTAATAAACAATAAATATAAAATGTATCTGCCGCATTCAGGTGCAGTGAGGTAATGAGAACTTCTATTTCTCTACAACTTTCTGCCTTTAGAGAAATAGAAGTCTGAGATTAAAATAGTAGGTGCCAAAGAAAGTGTTGATAATCCACAGCTGATTTTTCCATTGTGGCAGCATGAACTACAAAAATAAAAGCGATTTACATTCAGATGGATCTATAAAACACAGATTTTTTCTTCACGTATGACAGATGTGCTATAGGTGTAAACTTCAGAAGCTTTTCTATGGTAGTATGTCTGGCACCTTCAGTTCCAAGCACCTGTGCAATCCTGCTCAGATCACACTTTCTGCAATATCTAGCTTAGCTTGAAGCATTTGCTGAAGTCCTTGTGCCAGAAACAGGCTCATAAAGTCATAATAGGCAGAAACCTGATGTGGATCTTTAGCTTCTCAGCCATTAGTATACCCATAATCAATATCCAGACACTAGATTTAGCTTCTCTGCCAACAGTATACCCACAATCAATATCCAGACACTAGATTATATCTAGCAGGTATTCCTAAATAATATCTAAACTCCAAAATAATAATATAATGTAATCATACATTTTTGAGCTTACCATGTGTTATCTTATCTTTTTTTTTTTTTTTGTAGGCTATTGCCCTTTATTTTTCACCTGGTTACACTGCCAGTAACACTTTCTGTCCTATGGTGACAATGCTCATTCACCATATGGAGGAGCATTGCTGTCACCCTATGATGCACCTGATTTGGACTACCAACACCTCCACCTCTCCATTACATAGGGGGTAGTTTTTTGTAGTTAACTGCAGATATCTGGGATACCATTATTTGGGTTTTCAGTTCAGTGACAGGAAGTAAGAAGCTCACTGGTTTTCTAGCAGAATCAACAGACATTTTTCTGTTCTTACCAAAAATGTATTTAACCTGAAAAAAAAAAGAAAACTAATAACAGCCACGACATCTAAGGACTAGTAAGCTGTAATATATTACATTTTTGTTCCTGGGTTTAGATACCCTTGAAGGTTTTTACCAAGTTTTGTGCTTTGCCTGTAGTTCTACTTTAAGAATTGCTTCTGGAACTAAGCAGATGTCAGACAAGACTTTATACCAGCATTTCTTTTTTCAGTCATGGCACCCTTTTTTTGAAGTATACAAAATCTCGAGGCACCCCAGTCTAAAATGTAAAAAATGTAAATGTAAAAAAATGATGTGTGGCCCCTCCAAAATCCATACCAGGCCCTTATACAGAATTGGGGTCTGGTATTAATTTTATGGGGGGATCCCATGCAAAAAGCAGAGGCCCTCTTCAAATCAAGAACCCCTACCTTTCACATGAAAGTCCCCCCTTTCACATCAGCCCTTTACATCAGGAGCCCCCTTCACAACGTATGCTCCCTCCTTTCACATCAGAGTCACTTCTCTCACACTAGGAGCTCCCCTTCACTGCAGATAAGAGTTCCCTCTTGGCATCAGGAGCCTGCCTGCACAATGGAAAGGCATGATACTGAGCACAAATTTCAAGACACCCCTATGGAAGCCAGAAGGCACCCCAGGGTGCCGTGACACCCTAATTGAGAAAGGCTGCTTTAGAGCAAAAAAAAAAAGGTACTTAGATGACAATATTTTAATAAAGCAAAGTACAATGTGCAAAGTGCAGTAAAATATAACAGCAGTTGGGATGTTGATTCTTCTCTTATTTTTTACAGAAAAAAGGGTGAGCAGACATTTCTGAACACATAAACGCAATTGATATTTGCCTAGTATTTAATAGTAATACATATAAAGCTGACCTGTTCTGCCTTTGCAGTACGCATTACTTGTTAGACCTCCACTCTCCACTAAAACTGCGATGTCATACTGCCTTCCAGGTATGAGTGCCGGATCTTGGATAATATACTCCTTAAAGTGCCTTTCCAGTGTTGTATTGAGCAGAACCACAGTCTGGCTGAAGAGCACCACATATAATTTTTCCCAGTCTCCAGCAGGTGGCAGCCAGCTTACACGCAGAGATTGTATACCATTGCTGGTCGCTTTTAAATCTGAAACTCTCTCCGGGACTAGAAAAGAGAATACAAAGAAATGTTATAAGGAATTATGATCACTCAATTAGATTTCCCACACACTTCCCCTTGGGAAGGCTGGTTTTTGCATCGCTTACTGATCAACATTATGCTTTGCACTATGTTAATTACCAGCTACATTTTGGGTGCTAGCTGTATTTTTGTGAAAACTGCTATATGATGCTGAAGTTGCAAAGTAGCTAAGAAACAGCATTTTATTCCAATGGGTACCATTTTGTAAGCATTTGAATAAAAATAACACAACCGACTGTGCAGAGCATACCTTACTTTAAAAGCCACAAGAGATGTTTGATTAAAAAAACACATTGTTTCATGTAATGATGGGCCCAACACAATAACATTCTGCTTGTAGAGGAAAAAGTCATAGGATGTCACACATAGCCCACAGCAAAAATGACACACAAGAGAAAGAATACTTACCAGTCCTCCCAGTTGCCATCTTGTCAGCGCTTAAGTCCCCAGCAATACTTGTGACGTTAACCTGATAAAGACGTCCTGGTTTTAACTCATTAAAGAGGACCTCTGTAGAAGCAGCACTCAGGGTTCTGCTGTACTTTATCGAACCTTGGTCAGTCAAAGTGACATTGTAAATATCCAGCTTGCCTTCAGGTGCTTTCCAGCTAACTTTCAATGTGTTAGAACTTCCATCATTCCGCACAGTCAGATCAGAGACCTTAGCAGGAGCTAACAAGGGAAGCGTAAAGAACCTCAATGATTTGGTCAAGTCAGGTCAAGAACATTCCAAAACCCAGACACAGGGAGTATAATATACAGCATATACAGTATATAGGGAACATTATCATACTGAACACTTTTTTGTTATAAAAAATGAAAAGAGTTTTATTCATTGGAAGACTTCTGCAAACAGAAGAAATGGCAGAAACTCGTATAAGCGGCAAGGGATGACCAGAAGTAATTGATTGCACTAAATGGATGGGTATACCTTTTTTTTTGTATTTGAGAGTGTTTATGTGATTTCAACACATGTATATGGTGTGCTATCATTTTAGGATTATAGGATAAGCAAACCCAAAACACAAATATAATATATTACATCTTACCAGTGCTTAGATGTGATGGCTGCCTGGCTTTTTTTTTTTACACGCTAAGAACATTTTTAGCAAGTACAGAAAATACCTGTTGATCTTGCCAGAAATGCAGTGAACTGGAAGCAAAAAAAATATTATCTTTCTTTTGTAAACTACTAATCCTGCCAAGGCCATGTAAGTGAGAGGAAATAGGGCAGACATGTTTGATGTCCAGCCTGGGTGACAACTACTGATGAACCTAGACTTGGTGTGAAACCAGTTCGCCTGAGTTCACTCAAGCCCACTCAAACTTGTGACCGCCAACCCCTTCTCGTGGCCCAATCAGTGACAGCTGTTGTGGAGAGGGCATTCTATGCCACTTTGTGATATATAGCTGAGGGGCAGGGAATGTGCCTGCCACAACTGATGGGGACAGGTCAGTCACAATTTTGAGCAGACTTAGGTGAACTGGATTCACAGCAAACCCAGTCCAGTGATATTGCTAGTGACAACCATGACTCATTCCATAGATACAGTGAAGAAGTAAAAGTAGCCACCCAGGGACAGTAAGCACAATATACTGTATCAACAGGTGAACATAAAGGGGGGAAGCCAGGAAAAAGAAAAATAATTCAACTACCACATCTAAGGATTGGTAAGCTGCCAAATAATGTTTTTGGGACTACATACACATTAATATACAGATCTGAAATTGTTCCATCTGGTGGCTGTCTACAAAGTGACTTTCATCGTCATTTCTAAATGTCTATTGCAACATATTCAGTTACAGCATCATGAATCTATATTTTTTTCATTGGACAGTTATTTGCAGAGCCACATCCATCGATTCACCGTAGACTTGACCTGGGATAGCAATGTCCATAGATTTACAGTGAGATAGCAGAGCATTGTCTGTTGACTTGCCATGAGATATCAAAGTATTATTAAAATACTTGTCCTGAGGTAGTAGGGATGTTCAGATACCAGTTTAGATACCAGTGCAGATACTTGGGGGTTGCAGCGGTTGCAGCTTGGACCTAGCTCTGGCTCTCCACCACTGTACTGTAATCATTAGTTTGTATTGTTTTAGAAAAACAGTCACATGACAATAAACAAAAATGTATCAGTACTTGTATCTGTGAGTACTTGGACAAGTATCAGTACTTGTACTTGAAAAAATAGTATCGGTGCATCCATTATATATATATATTTTAAAAAAATCATACATTAAAACAGGGATGCACAAATCCAAGGAGCTCCATATGCTTCTTAAAAGTAACAGATGCCTTCTAACTTTTGTTTTTTTTTCTAGTTTAGTCTTGGAGCTGGAAAAGTATCTGTACTTGTACTGAGTACGGTACCTGGTATCTGAACATCTACGAGGTAGCATTGCACTGTCTGTAGACTTGCCCTGAGAGAGCAAAACCTTGTCCATAGACTTACCTTGAGATAGCAAAACACTTTCTGTAGACTAGATATTAGACAGCAAAGCACTTTCTATAGATTTGCCATGAGATAGAAGAACACTGCCCATAGACTTGCCCTGAGATAGCAAAACATTTTTTGTAGACTAAACTTTAAATAGCAAAGCATTGTCCAGAGACTTGCCCAGAGATAGCAGGGCATTTTTCTTAGACTTGCCCCCAAATGGTGAAGCTTTGTCTATAGACTTGCCCTTGGATAACGGAGCATTAGCTGCAGAATTGCCCTGAGATAAGTGGAGCAGCAAATCACAATTACTGCACTGTGCTACTAAACCAAAATCACAGCCTATTGACGTAAGGTGATAAACAAACAAGTGAAGTATATATAAGATTGCAAATATAATAAAAATTAAGGTTAATAACCCATGTAGATGAGATAATTAACTTTAACACACACACAGGCATGCACATAAAATGAATAAACCGCAGATTCCCATTGAATTAATTAATGATTTTACATAATAGACCTCAAGCGCAAGCAAGCATGTAGTTACTAATCTTGGAGGCAAGTCAATTGATCTAAAAATTGCCAACACTGGGGAGTTTGGATAAATCTAATCTTTTCCCGACAATAACACATCTCTGGTTATTTTAAATATGTACATGCAGATTTGTCCTAAGAAGAATCACTAAATATATCAATCCAGGCAATCAGATGAATTAGTAGATATGGTGAATCAGCGTGCACATATTCAGGAGGACTGTACATCTTCAAGAACACTTCACTGTAAATGAAAACAAATCAGTCCTTCCTTTATATAGATCAAAATAGTATTTGTGAAATAATGTCATGTCCCTGATATCATGTAATTTTGTGACGGTTGAAGTTGATTGCTTAACTTACCATGACTTTAAAGTAGTTTTAAACTCTCAGACTCAATAGTGAATCCAGATCAAACAAATATATATTGTCCATCAAAGTATGTCTTTACATTTTTGCACAAACACTCACAGTCCTTATGGTTTCATGGTTTCAAACAGCTCCAACTCTCTCTGTGCAGCTTCCCTGAACTTCATGTACAGTACAAGATCACAAGGGAGGGCAGAGTCTCAAGCAACGGTCTATATACTAGCTTGGAGATGAGAGGGGAGAGAGGGGGAGAAGGGAGCAGGTGAGTAGCCTGCCTTGTTGTGTCTGTGTTTGTGGAGGCACACACACAGCTTACTAGTACACACAAGGGTGGCTCTTTAGGACCCTACAAAGGAAAGGAGTCAACCCAAAACAGGATTTAATAGTTTTTTGTGTTTTTCGATCAGTATAACGCTTCTCATGGATTACCTGTTCTTACTAATTTAGAGTTCCTGCTCTGTAATCCTGCAGCTTCAGTGATCACTGTGATATTATAGGTATGTCCTGGAAGAAGACCATAAAAAGTGTGCCCAGTAACTTGTGCATCCACATTGACTTCTTTCATTGTCCTCTCCTGACCCCATAAGATCAACTTATAGTTCTCTGAGATTCCAGAACCAGGCTTCCAGGTAACTTGGATGCTGTCTGATTTACTCATAACATCAACAATCTTCACAGGCATAGGGACTAAAAGGAAAGGAAGAAGACATTCTTAACATAATTAGTTACCACTGAATGACAAATACTTGCTAGCAACATCCCAATACATAAATATATAGTTATAAAAATACACATATAAATCTTCACAAAAACAAAATATATGTTTTTTTTAAATGCACATTTAAAAAGCATAGTGATGTGCTTTACAAATGTGCTTAGTGCACCCCAGGAGTACTATTTATATGAGTTAACCTATAAACATACCAAACAAGCTAATTTATTAAAACCATTGAAAGGAAACATCTACTAGGAGAATATAGAGGCCATTGCTGACCTCTTCTTCTGAAAAAGTGAATTCCCTGGCTGTTGTACTGCTTCCATGGCATCAGTGCTTCCCAAGGCACTAACATGGAACACATCTACAAATCAGGAGTTCTGACTTCACTCTAACTTTCTAATCTACATGCTCGGTATACACTGAGTGGCCAGATTATTATGACCACCCCATTGACTCCACAAGATGACTTCGTTGGGCCGCCTCGTGACTCCACGAGATGTTGAAAGGTGATGCGAGGAATCTGACACTGCACTGTTGCCCTTCTGTTGTCTTGTACCAGTCTTGCCACTCTCCATTCTGCCCTAACATTGACTAGTCGCTGACGGCCACAATTTGCACGTTCAGACCCAGATTTTCGGCTGACAGTCCAGTCTTTAAACACTTTAACAACAGCTGCTCTTGAACATTTAATGAATTCTGCTGTTTTGCTGATACTCGCTCCATGGCTCTAACGCCAACAATCATCCCACGTTCAAAGGCTGTTAAATCGCGTTGTTTATCCATATCTTCAGAAAAAAATCACTTCTACTGTCGTGGTAAACAACCTGCTTCCCTATTTATAATGGTCTGGCCCTCTAGCAACTTCAGCGCGAAATTATAGCTAATTTGCCTACAAACATCAGGTGGTCATAATAATCTGGCCACTCAGTGTAGGTTTTACTAACTCTATTTTGAATGGCCTATTCATAAAACAGGGCTGTGGTGTGGAACCTGCAGTGTCCTACAGAGTTCTGTTTAACACAGCTGAGAGGACACCATGATTAAAGCAGAGCCAGTCACATGACTTTGACAGGCCATGTGACAAGGCTCTCCTCCCTACTTTTTTTATATGCCATTCATTTATATAGCATTCAACTGGCTTTGGAACTCTGAAGTGGAGCACTAAGAACATTTTTAAAGCAATATCCCTGTATTTTCCTCAATCCAAAACTAATACACATACAGGTGAAACTCGAATAATTAGAATATCGTGCAAAGTTAATTTATTTCACTAATGCAACTTAAAAGGTGAAACTAATATATGAGATAGACTCATTACATGCAAAGCAAGATAGTTCAAGACGTGATTTGTCATAATTGTGATGATTATGGCTTACAGCTCATGAAAACCCCAAGAACCCCAAATCCACAATCTCAAAAAAGTTGAATATTACATGCAATCAATAAAACAAGGATTGTACATAGAACAATATCGGACCTCTGAAAAGTATAAGCATGCATATGTACTCAGTACTTGGTTTGGGCCCCTATTGCAGCAATTACTGCAATTACTTTTGCATGATATTCTAATTATTCGAGTTTCCCCTGTATTCCTTCAGTTAAACATACAGTATATTGATCTGTGAATATATTTGTATTGCAGAACAACCGATTAAATAACCAGAAGATTCAGTAAATGTATAACCCTTGGCCCAAAAACATATGTCTGATCCCAAACCTCATATTACTTTAGACAACATGAGCAATTAAAGCAATTTCATGTGGTCCTTTTATTAATAGAGAATCATTAATATGTTTTTCAAATGTGAAAGCACACAGGCATCTCAGATGGAGCAATAAAAGGTACTAGATTGACTCATCTGTAGTCAATAAATGTGATCAGTGATCAGAGTCATATGACAGGAGTCTTACCTGTAGAGGCATTGATGAAGATTGTAGAGGTGCTTTTGATCCCAGAAGTAGCTCTTAATGAAACAATATATTTTGTGCCTGGATTCAGGTTCGTAAACGTTGCTTCTTTTACTGGACTACTGCCGAGGACATCATTCTTTTGGACATTTTCCCTTTTATCATTAAGTAAATGAAGCTCATATTGATCTACCCATCCTAAAGATGGTTTCCAGGAGACCTGGAAACTTGTAGAACTTATTGTGTTTCTTCTTACTTCAAACCGCGAGGGTGGAAGAGGGTCTAAAATAAAGGAAACAACACACATAAAAGATTCTTAATTTTCATAGTATTTTTGTGTAGTCCTTTGTTTGCAATGAACAATATGGTGGATATTCATTATTAGGAATCTGTTTTCCTGCATTAAAAGTGATGTCCCTTTTCTTTGCTTTTGGAATTTGACAGATGTTGTTTATGGTTAGAAAATATCCTGTATCTGGAAAACACTTGCATTCTGGATACCTCTAGAACTAGCCCATATACTTGAATGCAATGTTATTACTGAGTCCACAGGTGTCAGTAGAGGCAGAAGCAGATCATCCACAAGGCACAAGTAGATGTCCAGGGTGCCAAGTTTCAACATTCATGCTCCTGTAGTAAACCAGGGGAACAGTGCAATTGGTCAAAGCTGTGCACCTGCTTGTCACTTCACAAGGCAGTGTGTGCCCCTGATGGGCACCATAACAGTACAGTAAATTCAAACAGGGCTTCTTCTCTGTGCTGCTACCTTTCCTAGGGCCCTTTTCTTGCTTAACCTGTATGTGGTACAGCTGTGTATTTATGAACAAAAATCTATCATAGACATGCAAATATGTGATATTGATGTTCTGTGAATCTATGAATTTTATCAGCAATACAGCAGCTTTTTTTGGCAGGACGATAGGCATGAGCGTGGAAACTCTAGAAATGTATAGAAATGTAGAGCAATCCATAGCAAATGTAAATATAAGCCATGATTTAGAAAGATCAAAAGAATTGTTTACTGTGTAATTGGTTGACTACATTTTTTTTCTGTTAACAGGAAAGTTTTTATTAAGTTTTGCACAGTAAAAAACAAAACAGAACATCAAGTCAAACAACAGAATAACCAAAAGTGTGGGTTACAAGTACAGATAACATATCTCATGTATCTCAGAGAAGTCGGACAAGAAGTTCAAGCAAATTCACCACCTGACAACTATCCTGCTGGAGGATCATGAGCTGCCAGAGGACACAGGCGAAGGGGGAAGTCCACCGGTCAGATCCTCTAGAGTGATTCCTTAAGAGCAATGCTCTAATTGAACCAGCCCAAAAGTAAACCAAGCGTAATGTGCAAGACCACATTTATTTATTTTTTTGGTTGACATTACATTTTTTTCTCAAATAGATATTTATTGAGTTTAACAGTGCAAATAGTCACAGACATGTTACAATGCCAACTGATGCCTATGGCAACCAGGTCATACATATTCAACATAACACATGGTGCATAAAAAGTATCACAATAATGGAGGAACACAAGGTTAGTCCTTGGGATGTAACCACAATGCAGGACCTATCAACTATAGTATAGATTTGACCAAGCTTCTACCAAAGGCGAACCATGGAGGGATCCGCCAGACAGGAATCGCATCTCAGTCTACGGGAGGACCTCAGTCTGGGTGGCCTAGGTTGACTGAAATGTGATTCACATTTACCTAGTGCAGGAGCGGTCACATAAATCAGGACCTCTGTATGGCAGTGTAGTGATACTGGCGACATTAACACATACAACATGTGGGGAGACACAGGGAGACAAAATGGAATACGAGCAGAGTAGGAAAAGAAGAGAAGAGGAGGAGAAGAAGAAGGGTTTGGACCGTACCATAAGGCAGAGGAGGCATTCAGTGTTAAGGCTATGGGGGGAGCATCAGATGTGACATAGGCGTCGGGAGATAGTTGAGTTATAGAATTTATTGATCCACGGGGACCAGATAGCTTCAAATTTGTGCATAGTGTTCTCAAGTTGTGCCGTGTGTTTTTCTTGAACCAATGAATATGTCTAATCACATGCGAGATATTAAGAGACTTCGTGAGCCAGATTAGTGCAATCTCTCTCTTAGCAGAAGAGAGGATGTGGAGGGAGAGTCTAAAGGCCTTGTTGGGGAGATCCTCTGGTTTTTGACATTACATTTTTAAGGAGGTGTACTCAGCCGGCAAGATATCTGCCTGCATTGCAACAGGTGCATTATAACAAGTGCATTTTATAAAATATTGATCCTGACTGCTACAACATTGCTCAGTGTGTCTTTAAGGATTGCACTTCGTAAACTATTTTCCACTGAGCAAATGGTGTAAGAATAAATATTTTGTGTGTTTCCTAAAAGAAGTTCTAGTACTTTGAACATTATGTCTCTGGAGTTGTATGACATAGTCAGTTATAAAATGGTTTGCGTGCCTGGAAGGTGAGGTTTAAAAATTCAGACTTTATCTAATCTATCTGGCCCAGAAAACAAAACACTTAGTCCCTTTAGCATCCGTTAGAACAAAGGAACAATGAAGTTGGGAAGTGCCTGGGCTGAGAGAGTCCTGTCTGGAAACAAACACTTAAGCCATTTACATTGTTACAGACATTCTTAGCTGGCAGGAAGCCATCAGTGCAATATTATACAAGTCATGTACTGAAATAAAAAATGTTACAGCCATACCTTAAGACTATCAGACAATGTATGCTCCAAAAAAAAAACCCCCATTATGAAATAAAGGTTTTACTAACAAGTGTTCACCATCGTGTCCAATCGCATGAGATCTTTTTTCTTCTAACAACCTTTCTGTACTATGAAGAGCAAATCCAGGCAAAAACTGCTAATACCTTCCAGGAATCAATGCAATGTTGCTAAAGTCTGACCTTGAGTTGTATTCAATCCATAAAGCCAGAGCAAAAGGTTTTACAACGTGCATTGTACATGATTCTGTGCTGTGCCATCTTCTTCAGTACAGACATGAATACAGGTCAACATTCAGGTTTTTAACTTGCACTGTACCAAAGACAGGAGCAGGGCATTATTACCTAGTCATCTTCCTCATCTCCCATTTTACGTATGTGCTACGGTCAAACAGGTACGGCAAGAAAAACACTATAGGTTTGATTTACTAAAGGCAAATAGACTGTTCACTTTGCATGGGAATTTTCCCTTAACTTAGTGAATGAAATGAAGCTCTGCTGACTTTCATCATCCAATCATGTTCAAGCATATGATTGGGTATTCTTTGCAAAGTGCATTTTCACTTTGCAAAGAATAAACCGCTGTTAAAGCGTTTAAAAAAAAAAACTTTTTGCCTATATCTACTGCTTGCTAGCAGTAGATATCAGCAAAAAAAACCGGAGGGTGTAGAAACCCTTTAAGGAAAAATTCCCATGCAAAGTCAACAGCCTATTTGCCTTTAATAAATCAATCCCTGTGCAGGCTGGGCGGAGACCCCATACATTGCTACAGAAGCTGGATGTGTTTGTGGATAAAACTGATTTTGGATATTAGTCTATACCAGGGGTAGACAATCTCGACACTTCAGCTGTTGTGGAACTACAAAACACTGGCAGCCACAGCGATGACTTCCAGAGGCAGCGGCATGATGGGATTCAGAGTTTCACCACTGTCGAAGTGCCAAGATTGCCTACCCCGATCTACACCTGCAATACACATTTTGCATGCTTATCTGGAGAGCACCTTTAGTTCTATTGAAAATACACCTACACATTTACTACATTAGTGGACCAATGAGAAAGACTTCTTATTAGCTCTCCAATCAGGTTTCATTATAATAGTCAACATTTGGAATGGGACCTATGAGTGTACCTTGAGAAGCCCTTGAGTAGCTGCTGTAGCTAATAACATGATCCTGCTGCATCACATGCAGCATGATCGTGTTATCAGCTGTCATCACTTTCTCTACTTGACTCAATTGTCACCAGAACCAAGGGTGCATCTAAAATAAAAATGAATTGTATAAAAAGTCACATTTCAGCTTAGTAACCTTGTACTACACAGGACCAGTTGAACTGCTGGACTCTGTTCACTGTTTCAGTAGTGACATCAAGGATATTAAGAAGCTTTGCTACACATATGAACAGTGGGGGGAGTCCCACAATTAACCTCCATACATTCTGCAAGTAAATTATTCTCCAGCAATTGGACTTAATGTTACAGTGTATCTAAAGCCAAACCATTCTCTTTAGTTTTGGATATAATGTTTGAATTAAAACCTCTACCAGATTTTATTTCTCTCTCTGTCCTTTTTTTGTTGTTGCTCCCTCTGTCTTCACTAGGGACATTCACCCTCTCTATTTATCCCCTGTCATGTGGTTGATAGTGCGAAAAAATCCACAATTTTAAATTGTAACCAAAACATCTATAGAGGGCAGATCTTCAAATGGCGACACTTGTTCAAGTGACTGTCTAAGAGGGCATTTCCCTCACTTTGAGAGATTTCCTTACATTTTCTGTTGTGTGATGGGAAACGTCTACAATAATTCAAATGGCAGACCTGACAGGGGCTTTAACCTCTCCCTACTCTAGCTAAAATGAAAAAAAGGTTTAGCTTTAGCTATACTATACATTAGGCACTATACATTGCTCCGTCTCATTTTACCAACATGCAAAGGTATAATCACAAACAAGTCACTCTTGGCCCTTGGGAGTCAGTGTGCTTTTCTGTGTTGCTTGCTAGGTTGGTAAATGTCATAACTGGGCAGTACTGGAATAAGCATGCTCTATGGAAACTGAAGGCACTCTGTTTTCCTAAGGTATTTCTAGACCAAAACAACCATAGACACAAACTCCAAACTAAGTACTGAGATCTCTCAGGTAGAGGACCTTTTTTGCTGGTCTGTGGGCCACTGGTGCTGTTTTACTGTACTGCCACACAACTCTATTCACTTAAAGGAACTGAATAGTCATCTCAACGTTTTTAGATAACAATGTAAATGAGATCAGATTGATGTAAATAATCTGATCAGTTCCTGATGCGATTTTATATAAACAGATTCTGCTTCCTGCTTGCAGTGGTACACAATGGTTGTGCTTTACTGCGTTTTCTAACATTGGGGTTGGTTTGCTAAAGGAGTAGACAGTGTTCACTTGTACATGACTGGGTATTCTGAATATTTACTTGGCTTATTGAATTAGGCGAAGCTAACTGAAAATTCCCTCTCTGCACAAAACAGCAGAGCCGACTGTATGCATGGATATGGTGTCTCTGTGATAAAGACCACCCACTGTGCTGCCACATATATGCATGGGACCAGTGGGTATGCTGTTTCAGTTAAGATTATGTTCTCCAACTGTAAGTTTATAGTCCAGTGGTTACTAATTTATGAGGCCCCCAAAAGAGTTGTACATAATGTTCAATACATGTAATGCTACAGAATACTATCGCAGACTGTATACATATTGGAGGACATGGTCAGGTACTTCAGACATGGTACAGTTGTGGTTAGAGACTGCAAATATGCGGTAAGAGACAGCCGTAGACAAGGGAAAAGTTATATGAGACTACTAAGGACCACTGCCATTAAAGCCCCTTTACAAGTCATTGTTCTCACTGCAACTGCTGATTTCTTGGGATTGCAAAGGGCTCCAGGTTGGGTACCAGGACATTAGTGGCTAATTTTCAAATCATTGCAATAACAATAATAACAAAAATAAGGAAGAGCAAGCTTGTATAAATATGAACGTCATATAAAAAAATTGTATTTGCAACACTACGATAATAGCTAAAAAAAAAATGTGATCACTGAAAATACACTATACTTTCCCTTTAGTTAAAAGGATTTAGCTGTCAACTCAGAAGATCTCTACAAAACAAGGGAAATTCCCCCTAAGACAGTTGTCACTAGAACAGGTGTTCACATAACAGTTCCTATAACAGTTCAAATATTTTGGATTTCCCATCACTTTACTCAATGACCAGGACCAAGAGAGAGGGTGAATCTTTTTTTTACAATTTCTTTTTACATAAATTGCATTTTATCACAGCTGTATAATGCATCTAAAATGAAAATGAATTGTATAAAAAGCCACATTTCAGCCTAATAACCTAATACTATGTAGGGCCTTATAATGCAATAAAAAAGTATGACTGTTGCAAAGCTACTATAAGATGTCCGTTAGACAAAAACAAACACAAATGATTAGTGTGTGTATATTTATGGGAATGCCAGTCCTGAAGCAGTGTGTATCACAGAGGAACAACAATACAATACTGTCTATCAAAATCTAACCCCACCAGTTGAATTTTACTCCAACTCTGTCCATTGAACAGTTCTGGAACCCTGGATTACCCTGGATTTATACACGGTACATATAATATTTCTTTACACATATGGGCCTTTTTTCACATTTAAACAGGAGAGCAAAAACATTAAAATAAAATCAGAGAGCTGCCACACATTAAACATGTCAAAGACGATCTAGCTGCATGCACTTCACATATAAGCATGCACTTTGCATACAAATGAGACACAGAATACTTGATATTTATTAGTGTTCTATTTCCAGTATTGATAGTTATTGTCATGGCATTGGCTGCGGGTGCATGATTTATGTCTGTTTAGTAAAATAAAATAATAATATATCATAATATAATAATTCATACATATCAGACATACAACTAATTATATCTAGAAGTCAATAGGGTTCTAATATAGAGAGTGAATACAATGCCCATTTTAAGATAACAGGCATTGCAGCATCCTGGTCATCACCTCTGAGCAGATTTTCTGACTCACATCCCCTGATTCATTTACAGTAGCAGATAAGCCTCTTGAGATTACACTTGAAAGTAAAGCAAAATAGTGCCATGTTTAGGAGAAAGTTGCAAGTTGCTTTCTAATGTCCTATTCTGACTTTATTTTAGACCAGCTGCTAATCATAAAATCATGTTATTTCAACCACATCTCTAAATACATAATTATTGTTTATCACGATCTATGAACTTTTTCTGCAAACATTTAAAACTGTCATTTAAAACACATGCACCAGGAAGAATCATCTGCAGTGAATATCTGGTCAATGTCACATTTGCTGCTTTGTTTTATTACGGCCCTATTGTTATTGAAAAAAAGTGCCATATTTATAACAAGATTATTTTCCTATTATAATTGTTGCAAGTGGTTAAAGTTTATTTTAAATAGATTTCTTAGGTTTTGATGTTTTATGCAGCAGGTTCCAAAAAGTCAGAAGCATCCTTTGATATTCCTGCACATGCAGTTTATTGAATTCAAAAGAGAGAAAAAAATAACTAATTTGACTTTTTGTTCAAGTTTATACTGCAACGGACCTCTGTGTGTACCCCATGGCAATATTCAGTGTGGGAAATGAATGTCTCCATTTCTTTGACAGGCATTATACAATGTAGCTCAGAAATCCTAAAGATCAGTTGCATAGCTGAATGGCCAGCTGTAGCAGTGTCTATTAGGAAATCATATTCTTCCAAAACCCATCAAAGAGTTATAGCTGGCAAGCATTTGTAATTTTTTTGGTTCCTTCTATATGTCAGGTTTGAAGTATTTTAAATGCTGTCTGTAACCATGCATCTATTATACCCAGATCTGCTTTTCACTAAAATCCATTAACAAATACTGTACATGTGATACCTATAGCAGTATTGTTCTGGAAGGATGTTTAAAGAAGAGCTCAGGGCAACATTTGTATTAACCCTTGCAGTAGGGTTAACCGCACGTTTTGGTCTAGGGAAGAAAAAAGCAAAGTTATACTCATCTGATACTCCGAGCTGTCTGTCTGAGACAGCACTCCCTCCAGCCTGTATGGCTGTATGGCTGTATGGCTGTATGGTATATCCCTTGGTGTCCTCACGTTCTATACACAGTGTATGGAACATGATGACTCAGGGACCTTAGACCACTACAGTGGAAGGGGAGAGAGGTTAGAAGGACTGATCTAAGAGCAAGCTGGCTCTGAAGATCAGGTGAGTATAACTTTTTTATTTTGCTCCCTACACCAAAATGAGCAGTTAACCCTTGCAATGCGTGGGGTGCCCCACTTCAAGGGTTAATATAAAATGAGAAAATGTATTCTTTATTACCCTCTCCACAATATGGTATAGTTTATCATCTTTCTGTATAAATGCCTAATGAGTCTACTTCTTTCTGATAAATCTCATGAGTTTCTTTATATTAAAAACATATTAAAAATATTAAAAATGTATTTTTAGTGTGCTGAGTAGACCATAAAGGTTGCCAATACCTTGATAATCTAATCACACTGATGAATAAGTGATCTGCCATTACTCAATACATATGATATACACTTAAACACTGCAGCATTTTCTTTATGCCACAGAAATAGCAGACAATCATCACTAGCAAACACAGACAGATCTAAATTTTGTTTGTGTGAGATACATGTGTTTTATGTCCCCCATGTTTTTAGGTTCTTTTGATCTTTTTTAGGAGCTGTGCAGGGTGTCAGCGTGATTGAAATGGTGTCTGATATTTTCTGTTCCTACAACATCTAGCTTATTCATTCATTATCTCTCAGTGTTGTCATTATTACTGCTATACACTTTCTTGTAAAGTCCTTGTACAAGTATAGGTCTTTCCTCCAGCTGCACTTGCTATACATTTGCTCAAAGTAGTTACTTCAATGCTACAGAAGCATGTATCTCTGTGTTTTTAAACATATAGCACCTTACAACACTTTGAAAATGTGATCCTGTCTTTTCCATGGCCCTTAAACATAATTATAAAAAAAAAACGATGTGGCTATGTGAAAAGTGCTGTACCCTATAGCCACCAGTGCAATATATCCTTGTATTCATCTTACCTCAATAAACTGAAGTCTGATTAGTGAGTATGGACTATTAGGGTGGCTTACTATAGGCAAATAGGCTGTTCACTTTGCAGGGTAATTTTCCCCATAGCTTAGTGAATGTGGTGAAGCTCTGCTGACTTCCAACATCCAATCATGTGCAAGCAAAAATCTTGCTTTTTAATTTTCCTTGTATATGATTGGGTAGTCTTTGCAAAGCTAAAAATCCCTTGTAAGGGGACAGTCCATTTCCTTCAGTAATTCAACCCCTTGGACTCTGCAAGCAGTCGTTGTCTTTATACTTTCTTAAAACAGGTTTGACAGCAATAGTATAGAACAGTGATGGTTGTCTTTCTTGCTATAGGAGGCCTGAAGTATGGACCCTGACCCTCTTTAAAGGGCCATACATATTACACAGTGAATGTAATGCTACAGAAATGACTGCAGTAATGTATCAGGATGTGGTCAAAGACAACAGGCATGCAACAAGAAATGGTGAAAGACTGAAGAGGTACTGCAGTAGAGGGTCAGAGACTGAAAACCTGCTATATGAGTTGTTGGAGACTGTGGACATGTTACATTAGACTGCTAGCGATCACGGTTATTACTGCACCTTTACAAATCAATGTTTCCACATTTATGCTTCCTAAAGCCCCCTTAAAAACTACTAGTGCTGCATATTATATTTGTTTCAGCAAGATGCTTTATAAAAAAATCAGAGGGGAAAATCATAAAAAGAGGTAAGAGATGGACAGTACAGAAAAAAGTAACAAAGCGTCAAAGAAATAACTAAGCCATTTTAGTGCTAGAACCCAGTCTAAAGAGTATTTTCCTTCACTGGCCTAAGTAAGAACCTAGGTAAGGAAAACACTGACAACCGCGTACGAAAGCATGAACGGGTGCTCAATTAGAGCCAAAAGTCCACATGCATCCCCTGGGCCACAGGCTAGGCATAAGGGTATACAACATGCAAGGAAAATCCCAGCTATGTTCCTTTCTGTCATACCTGTTTGTAATGTAAGATTCGTTGTCTCTCCATCTTGTCGGGCTTCAATTGTTATGTCATAAACTGTTCCTGCCTCAAGTCCAGTCTGTGTGCACTCATAAGTATCATTGTTTATTTGGACAGGATTGCATGTGGTTTGCCAAAAGTTGCTTGAGCTGCAAGTCAAGCTAAAATTGCAAGCAATTCCAGGACTACTCCACTTTACATATAGAGATTGTGAGAAAGCTTTGCTCTCAGTAATGTTGATGGTGCATTTCACTGGCTCCACATCCTGAAAAAAAAATTCAAATAATTAAGGTGCAATAAAACAGATGAAGCAAAATTTCAACATATGAATAAAAAATCTATCAATAAAATAGGAGCCATGACCTACCCAAGTAAAGGATGGACACCGGCACTCCAAAGCAAGTTCAGTACGTGTTTATTAACGTACTAGTTGCAAGTAGAACACTCTATACCATATAGGGTGTTCTACTTGCAACTAGTACGTTAATAAACACGTACTGAACTTGCTTTGGAGTGCCGTTTTCCATCCTTTACTGATATTTTGTCGGAAGCCACCCGCTGACACCTGCTGCACCCACCTTCCATTTTTGGAGCAGCGGCTCTGAGTGCGATGGGTACATGATGGAGCCATGACCTACTCAAGGACAAAAAATTACACAAAGAAGCCTTCAGAACAAAATGATATGATTATTAATATAAATATTATTATTCCTCTGGATCAAAATTTTACTAATCTTGAGAGGTTGATCATGATCAACATTAGCCTTTATTAGTCTAATGAAACTAGAATAGAGCCCTACAATCATTAAACAGTATACAACATAATAATTCAGTCTAAATAAATCTAAATAAAGTGACATTAAAAAAAGCAGATCATATTCCCACACAGAAGGAAGGGAATCATTAATTGTAAGTTTAGTGACAAGTGCAGTGACATCAGACATAGAATGTAGACCAGTGCTGCATATAGGAAAATAGAGCATCAGCATCTTTCTTCTGGAGAATAAAAGGGAAGAAGGACCATCTCATGTGTGCTGGGTACTCACCTTTATAAAGCTCAGCACAATCCACAATGACAATCCAAACACATATCTCAGCATTGCGAGAAAAATGATTTAAAATAATCCTTCTGGGATAATAAATTTCATTGCAAAACTCCAATATAAATAACGGTCCAGATATCCAAAGGTAGGCAAGGAAAATGTTTCAAGCAATTCCATATAAGAGCAAGTCAAGAGGTATTCCCAAGTCAATATGCAGCTGTGCTCTGTGATTTAAAATATTCCGGTGCGACAAGAAATTTAACAAAGAAATCTTTGCAATTTTTTCCTGAAAGGTGGTGCGGTGAGACATAAGGGTACTAGGAAGGTTTTATTAGCTGTACGATTTAAGAAAAGCATGTAGAAGGCAACATCTTGCAGTTTCCACATTGCCATTCTGACCCAGTCTAAACCTGTTCAGCGCTTTCCATCTACTTCCTTAATCAAGAGTCAATTTCCTTGACTTGATGTAGTGTAACAATAATAAGTTGAACCCATGCAGTATCCAACCCAGGCAGAGCAATCCCCAGCGCCTCCCCTCCTTGTAAGGCTGCAGAATGATCCAGGCTGTCGTCTTGGCAGTACCTGTAAGATACCAACCCCGCCAACTTCCTGTGGCTGCTGACCCTTCATTAACCTCCCCTGTTGGTGCTTGCGTGCATCTGAGGAAAAGTCACTTCTCTCGTTGCCCTCTGATGTGCCAGTCCTTTAAACAGTACTGTCCCATGCCAGCACTTTCACTTTTTTGCTCTGATCATTTTAGCTCGGAATCTTGTTTCTTTCTCCCTGTAACTTTCCTCTCCCCCACCCCTGCCTTCCTTCCTCCTATCTCCTCATTTCTCTCTCAGCCTAGTTTTCCGAAGCTATTTTTGGACCTTTTTGTTTTCTTTTAATAAAATGTTTGGCCATTATAATTTCACACAAGCTGCCTCACCCAAAAGGTCTTGTTACTCTTTGACCAGATCATTTTGATTCTTGGATATTAAAAGTTAGGTTAATTATAAGATTGTTTCAGACTCTACCAGTTTATGTTCATAAGACCACACTTGGCATTTTAACAACTTCAGAACTGCACGAATTGCATAAACATATCTAACCTTTCCTCTGTGTCATACATTTTCTAATCAAAGTCGAGCAACTTTTAGCAGCATGCAAACTAGAATTATTTTACCACTAACTAGACTGTAACTTTAACAATTTGACACTGCAGTCACTGAATTCTCCTTAAATACTGTCATTATTTCATTTGGTGTAAGCTAAAACAATAGGATGAAGTGTATTAACTTGTAGTAGCCGATAAAGATAAACTGAACATGTATAACTAGTCACCATATTAATTTACAAAGCCCAATAAAAATAGAGTAATGAGATTTGTAAATAATTAATGGCCTTTGATACAGACAAAATAACTTTCTTGCTGTCTGGTCTCCTTGTGCTGCATTTCCAACCTAACGAATAATGTATAGTTTGACACATGTGCCCTGTCCAGCCATTACTCCCTAAATCTAGGCTTGGTTATATACACCAAACATAATAATGACTCTTAAAAAATAGGGTGCCACAAACTGGTTACCCTGCCCATCTGTGAATAGATTATTTTATGTGAATACGCAAAGTCTGTAATATATTCTACAAATTTGCTGAGGAAAGGGAATGGGATAGAGGATCACAAGTATAACTTGTGTTATCTTTTAAGTCATACTTGAAGAATGTATGTTGGGTTTGATGCTGTAGATATGCATTAATATATGCATGGAGCCTGCATTTACCATGGTGCTGCATCCCAGCATACGGGGATGATTAGCTATGTAGACTTTCATGTTCAGAAGTTCTGTTAACCTGACCCTTGCTGTGTGACTGTCAATGTTTAATGCAGGCTGTAATGTGAAAAGGTGTGTCTGAAACATCAGGACAATCTGTGTACTTAGATAAGCTTGGCAAGACACAGTTATCTACTACATGCTATGTAATGCCAAGAATTTACAGTATATTGTCCCTACCATATATGTAGTTATGTACACAGGGGAGGGACAACTTTGGCTGAAAGCCAATTCAACTACCAGTATTGAGTTGAAAGAAGAAACCAGAGAACCCAGAGAAAAGGCCAAGCAATCAGAAGAAGAAAATATAAACTCCATGCAGATCATGTCCCCACTGCGGGGCCTAAGTCTTACATAGTTATTTAATTAAACCATGAACTGTCAAATCTATTTGCTTTAAAAAAGTATTTTTCTTGTAATAACAATTATTAAAAGCCCAAGTGGCCAAAAGTTTTTCAGCTTGCTTTAAGATATAGCATAACTGACCTATACACAGACTCTGGGAGTCCAATTAACTTTCAGCAGTTTACCTAACAATGATATATGTGTAATCTAACATGTACAAATATTAATACATATTCCATAATATGAATCACCTTACAAAGCTACGTAATATTTACATAAAGCACAAACAAAAACAAGAGTGTTTTTAACTTATGAAAATTTAAGAAAAAACTGCATCAGGTATTGAATAATATTCATTAGTAAATAAATGCATTATTGAATACATAGTCAAGAAATAATAAGTTAAATAATTAAGATTTGTTTGTTTACATTGGTAACTAAGATGGGTCTTTGGGTAGCATGTGACTGTGCTGGTTGTATGTTTTGCAGTGGAAAAACTTTCTGACTGACTGTGGAAAGGCAATGTACAAAATTACAAACTTATGTATTTTATTTGAAGAGTTTGGAACAATATGCTTCCATTAAATTTTTATATTTTCTTAATACCTGCAATTTTCTAAAGCTCTGCAATTGCCCCTTCACTAAATCTAGAATGGTAGCTTATAGCCTGCTGCTTTGCAACTTTGGTGTTCTGGGTTTAAATCCCAATGGACCACAATTTGTTTGGACTTTGTATGTTATCCTTGTGTTTAAGAGTTTCCTCTAGGGCTCTGGTTTCCTCTTATAGTCTGAAAGCATACTGGCAGTGCATCCGGCTGCTGACCAAATTGGCATTTGCGTGAACGACTGTTACTGGGTGATTAGATTGTAAACTGCACATTCTTAAGTGATATACTCTGTCATGCACTATTGCAGAAGTAAGTATTGTATAAAGCAATATATATCTATATAGATATACATATCTATATAGATATATATATCTATATAGATATATATATATCTATATAGATATATATGTATATCTATATAGATATATATATCTATATAGATATATATTGCTTTATACAATACTTACTTCTGCAATATATATAAAATGATTAGGCTGGGAATGTTTAATAACTCCAATAATAACAAAATCAGAAAAATGTTGTGCTGAAATGTGTATAAAACAATAAAAACAGTCTGACTGCTAGTCTGACAGTTTTTTTTTTTAATGTCATGCAGGTGGAAGTTAAAAGCAATTTGCACAATGACCCTATATGCCTTTGCTCTTACAAGTGAATATTTCAGGATGCACTGGGCACTTTGAGATATAATCTTTACAAATTTCTTTGGAGTTAACTAGCATTAGTACAATAGACATGCAACTCTTTAGTGTATAAACCATCTATAATTGGTCAGAAAGGGGAAGATACAGAGAAACAAAGAAATGTTATAGTTAATGTTGATAACTGACTGTTGCTTGTCCTTCAAATGTGAAATATTCCTACAAATGAAATTATGCCATCATGCAACTTTTTTGGTTCAGATATCCTTTACATAGGCTTATCTTTCCAGTTGTGAATTCATTGAGTCTTACTATTTGTGTTTTCACATAAGCAACAATAAATCAGTATTAGTAAGCTACTTCCGCTTCCTTTCTTTAATGACAAATCAATTTAAAACTGAGCAAAAGTAGCTTTTCTGAAAAGTCAAAAGCCTTTCAGGAAAACTAGTAAACAGTATCAGCAGTATACTCTAAATGTGACTCTCTGTACTACAAATAAAAATGGGCATAAGGAGCAGGTACTGACTTTAGCTTAAACACTGGCAATAATAATATATTGTGTTACTCCAATCATTTAACAGTAAAACATGTCTTAATTTGAAGGTTGTGCTCAGAAAAGTGAAACAAAAGCACATAAATACTACAAACTACACCTTTTACACAAGACCCACTTCTAACTGTAGAAATGCAACTGTATTTAGACAAGTAGCATGTGTTTGTATGAGCAACTTTTGGATATTGGGTCTGGGATGTTGTGAGTTTACTAGATATCAGTAGGTAAAAGATAATCTGA